TACAACAACTGTATTCTTACACGAACCCCAGGAACCCCGTATTTGTAGTACACATAGCTACAATAACGGGTGTAACTACAGCATCTCCATGTCAGTACACCTTTATCGAACTACAACACACGTTTAACGTTTTGGTAGGTCATGCAACTAAAAGCTACATGACCCCAAGATATTCAACTATTTGCATGCTACTATCCGGTAACTGTTCCCTGAAGAAAGTACCCAACTACCATAACTATATATGTTATCATTTAAACGACGTGTGAACTCACCTGACCACCGTTTGTCCTAGAAGGGGATTTTCACGCAGTAAAGTCGGAATCTGCTAACATGCCCTGTATGCATTCCTTTTTTAAAATATCAGATTATAAATAGCGACAACTAACCATGCGTTATTAGCCGGAAATACTCTGATTCTCCTACATTTACATTCGACGGATGCTTGTTTCGCTTTAGAATGGCCCATGATTGTTTAGTGTCGTCAGCTCTACGTTGAGCGTATTCATCACGGGAGTTTATCAATAGCCATGTTATCTTATACTTCATTCACAGGCACCTATACATACACAGGCCTTTGTATATTTGCATGTTTAATTTGTCGTCAGTTATGCGTTCAGCTTGTTTTATCACGGAAGTTTATCAAAAGCTATGTTACCTTATACTCCATTCACAGGCACCTATACATACACAGGCCTTTGTATATTTGCATGTTTAATTTGTCGTCAGTTCTACGTTCAGCTGGTTTTATCACGGACGTTTATCAATAGCTATGTTATCTTATACTCCATTCACAGGCACCTATACATAAACACACGTTTGTATATTTGCATGTTTAATTTGTCGTCAGTTCTACGTTCAGCTGGTTTTATCACGGAAGTTTATCAAAAGCTATGTTATCTTATACTCCATTCACAGGCACCTATACATAAACACACGTTTGTATATTTGCATGTTTAATTTGTCGTCAGTTCTACGTTCAGCTGGTTTTATCACGGAAGTTTATCAAAAGCTATGTTAGCTTATACTCCATTCACAGGCACCTATACATAAACACACGTTTGTATATTTGCATGTTTAATTTGTCGTCAGTTCTACGTTCAGCTGGTTTTATCACGGAAGTTTATCAAAAGCTATGTTAGCTTATACTCCATTCACAGGCACCTATACATAAACACACGTTTGTATATTTGCATGTTTAATTTGTCGTCAGTTCTACGTTCAGCTGGTTTTATCACGGAAGTTTATCAAAAGCTATGTTAGCTTATACTCCATTCACAGGCACCTATATGTGTACATATTTGTATATTTGTACACAGATGTACATACACTTGTAGTCATGTTATGTGAACGAGTTCAGTGACTGAGTGACTCACGTGTGTATTTTTACACCAGGAGCACATTTGCATGTGGTCTGGAGCAGGTGCAAAGGTAAATTTACACATGTGCAAATGTGCACTGTATGTAGATGTAATGTGAACGCTTGCTAAAAATGCACACGTGTGGAATGATTGCAATCCAAAGCATAATGCAGAAGATATCTAGTTAAGAAATTGATAACATTTTATACTAAAATGTATCGACATGCATTTTATCGTGTCATCGTTCATTTGTCAGACCAATAAGTAAAGATGAACTCAATTAATGAGGCATTTCTCTTCTCATACCTCTCCGATAAACAAACACTCTTTCCAAGATATACATACGGTATATACCTTAATAGTCCTATTGTTTTCATGTGAACACGTAGTATAATTTACATGTAAACACGTGTGTATATCTGCACATGCGCAAATCTACTAATGTGGCTTTAACTAATTCATGTAATGCATGAATGGAACAGAAATGTCCCTGTAATGTTCCTGTAATATTTGAACAGGATGATGAAGTATTTGTGTCAGTTAATATGTTAATGATGAAGTAACTGTTGAACAGGATGATTAATGATTTGTGTTAGATTTCATATATGCCTAATAATGAAGCATTTGTGGGATTTCATATGTGCTTAATCATGAAGTATTACTGTGATTTCATAAACGCTTACTGATGAAGTATTATGTGATTTCATACATGCTTTATGATGAAGTATTTGTGTGATTTCGTATATGCTTAATGAAGAAGCACTTGTGGGATTCCATATGTGCTTAATGATGTGTGATTTCATGTGTGCTTAATGATGAAGTATTTGTGGGATTGCATGTGTGCTTAATGATACAGTATTTGTGTGATTTCATAAATACTTACTGATAAAGTATTTTTTGGATTTAATACGTGCTCTATGATACAGTATTTGTGTGATTTCGTATATGCTTCATGAAGAAGTATTTGTGTGATTTCATAAATGTTTGATGATGAAGTATTTGTGGGATTTCATCATCAACATTCTTTTCAAAATGAAAAATGCCTGTTATTGTTGTTTCGGTTAGCATTTAATTTACTAAGTCAGTTTGATTCTCGCAATGAGGCAATGAATAGTAAACTCATATTGGATCAATTTAGCAGAGTTAAGAAAGATCAAATTAGAATCAGATACTGATATCTTTATCACATGAGGTCATTGCGTTATGTAGATTGAGAGCTGATTGACCTACTCGGGCATTTCACAAAGGATGGTCAGAAACTCCACTGCTGTCATGTCCAGACTACCTTCCTTTGTCATATATACGTCATACATATATGCTGATATACACTATGCGTTCCTAGCCATAAATAGTCTTCAGTACATTTACATTTGGAAGATCCTTGTTTTTATTTAGCAACATAGGACATGGATCACGATTGTCAAAATAGTTCTACTTTCAGCATTCTTAGAAGTTTAAAATTTTGTCATGTCATATTCCGGAATCCCAGTTCGGGGCTGGAGAAAGACGGTAAAAATTTGGCCTGAAATAGATACATGTTGCACGGTTTGGTGAATACTGGCAATGTGAGAAGGTAATTAATTGCTGCCGTGTCTGAAACCCAGGCCGTCGGTGTAATTCAAACAACCTCTCTCTCTCTGTCTCTGTCCCTCTGTCTCTCTCTGTCTCTCTCTCTCTCTGTCTCTGTCTCTCTCTCTCTCTCTCTCTCTCTCTCTCTCTCTCTCTCTCTCTCTCTCTCTCTCTCTCTTTATTATAGAATATCAAACATTCTTTATGAATTACTCTTCATCTTGTATTTTATCAAATATCTAAAATGTAAATTTCATTTCGTAAACAGATCCATTAAAGATATCTATAAACTTTGAGTGGTTCGGTGGTTGTTGCTTAATCCCTAAATCCCCCAGTCGATACTATTCAGGATATGTTACCGCGGTCTGTAAACAATTCAGTATATCAAAGGCATTGGTTATACGTGAGGAATGTGTGTATCTGCGTGTGTGGGTGCGTGCGTGGGTGTGTCTGCTTGTACCAGCCCGGACTAAAGCCTGTGTCATAGGGTAAGCCCATGCTGGGTATCCTGTTAATTTCGATACTCAGTCACAGTATACAGAATATACAGCTAGACCTTGTTTTGTCTACTAAATGTTGAACTCCAGGCAGGGTAACAAAAAGTGCCATACTTTAGCGTCTTTAAGTATCACGCCGGCGGAAAATCGTACCACCCGCTCCGTGGACAGGCGCTTGAGTCAACTTGAACTCATTCATTCAAAACTGTTAGAATATTATTACACCCTTTTAACCTTGTTGTTCGAATGACATAAAGTTATGAGTATATAAACTGCATTATGTCACAACAATGTCTACTTGTGTGACAGGAAATTGCATTTAATCTGTTAGTGGGATTTAATATGAACAAAACAAACAAATGATATGGCAAACAGAGCCTTGGCGGGAGACCTTTACGATATACGGACGACAGAAACGTTTCCCAAGATATGAATTACGATACTCACGACAGAGACATCTTTAAGTTTTAGCGTGCATCGATAATTACGAGTGAGAGTGTGTGTGATTCATCGAGTGATATCACTTGATAACGGTGTTAGTAGCTACACTGAAACCTAGCTCATATTAATAACAAAGAAGGTGTATATCCATAGAACGTTCCCCATTGTTCTTTCACTGAGTAAGTCATAACCGTGAGTGAGTTAGTGAGTGAGTGTGGTTTTGAGTCGCTTTTAGTACCATTCCAGCAATGTCACGTCGAGGTCAACGAGAAATGTGATTCAAACATTGTACCCACATGGGCAATAGAACCACACACCTACCCCACTGCCCCATCTGGAACTTGATGCATGGTTGTTGTTAATTTTGTTTTCACACGTAAATTAAAATTAAAAATAAAATTTACGCAGCACCACCATTAATTCATCCATTAACACATAGGACGTGTATATTATGCGCACGATATGTACATCAATACATAATAATCAAAACCGTTAATTCAACCTGTTCATTTTTTTACATAATGCTGAACACCAAAACATCTGAAAATTTCAGATCCACCACCTTAATTACTAACCGATGACATTTGCACATTTAACCAAACACGACAGAGCAGGATGACCGCGCCAGACACCATACAAATGTCTGACCCTTGACCGACAGCCCTGTCATTATTGCATTAAGGTGACATTAGTGTTGATCTATGCGTGTTGACGGGTTCTATTTGATCAGCTAAATATCTCCAAACCCGCCTTCTCACGTTCGATTTCCATCATTAAATAGTTACACAGTGTTGACGATACATTGATGGACGATTATGACCACCACGAGCTAATTAACATTCAATATTTGACCACTGCTATGCATCACCCTTTCTCCTATTTGCTTGATCGTTTTCCTAATACCGGTTTGAAACTAAATGCTCTTGAATGTTTGTCTGAAGTGAAAAGGTTGTGGTACTAAGGTGGTTTCAGGCATTAATTGACACTAGGACATCGTTTTGGGATTTATTCTTACAATATGTAAATTCATGATAGTTTGTTTTGTATGTTTTGATAAAATATTGGACTAGCGTCTTATTACGATGGACATTGTAAAATGACTGTATATAAGGGAATGATAAGTGTTTTAGTCACAGGTCAATCGTCGCTTCTCGTAACCGGTAAGTAGTCGTATTTTACCCGCATTTGGCGATTTAAGACTGACAGTAGGAAACTGATTTAACTGTGTTGATAAATAACATTAGTTTTAACTTTTATGTGCAACTGTTTGATGCTGAGCGATAAACTCATAACAATTGGTATAATTCTATAACAACAACGCTAAGCCTTTAATGAAGTAGTCAAATGTAACAAATTATATATTTTGGATTACACTTTCTATTAACAGATGTGAAGGTGTGAGCCCTTCCATTTTGTTTTAAATTTGTTCCCTGAGAAATTGCGATTCAGATTTCAATTCCTTCAATGTTTATATGGACAGAATGTATGTCTGAAAAAATGTGTCGGAAACAAATTCTTAGGGTCATTCTTTCGTTGATACTAATGTAATCCTCAATGTTGAAATGCATTTTCTTTCCCCAACAAAAATTTGATCTTGAGATTGAACAATTTCTCGCCCCTGTTGAACTGTTGGTGCCTATCACAAACACATATTGCATATTTGTTTTCAAATATTTTGTTGCTGTTGCTCAATATGAATGTTAGATTTGACTTTAAACCGGTTAGAACATGCAACTCGGGATTATGGAAATTAAATTGGGATCAGAAGCATTGGTAGCTAAGTGAGTAATTATATTTTACAGCGATCAGATATGCAATGGTTCGTTCCTATATGGACCATGGTCGTGGTTCGAATCCCATATTCGTTAGCATTGCGATACTTGCTTTGTAGAGGTGTGACCATACAGAAATTTCAAGATGCGATAAGTATCGCCATATCTTCGAACGATACGATTCGATACGATGCTTATCACGATATGCTATCTTTAGTTATTTTCTTTAAAAGGTGTATTTTGATACAAGTAACTTTCAAATTTTGACATAACCGTCAATTTCTAGTGAAAAATCACAATTTTAAGGTCAACGATACATATCACGATACGAAAAAAAGTATCGATATATTTATTGTCAGACAAAGTATCGCGATTATCGATACTACGATATATCGTCACAGCTCTATTGCTTTGTTTGACTATAGCAGTGTTTATTATTTTCAGCAAATTAGTAGAAGCCTAAGACTTGTGTCTCCATGGGTTTTACTACCACCGTAAGCAGACATGCCGTTGTATAACTGAAATATTGTTTAAAAACGACATAAATACAAATTGAAGTATACATTGGGAGGATACAATACATTCTCAGAGTCGGACAGCATGATTCTTTTAGTACTTTTTAAGATCGTTTTAAACATTTACAATCTTTGTTGATTTTTTGTTATGAAACCTTAAAAAATTACCTTAAATTAAATAAATTTCGGTTGAAATAAATCTAATAAGATATTAGCGCTTCTTCAAAATAACTTTTCAAGCACACTAGTTACTCTTACAAGAAAAGTAGTTATTACCATAGAATAGCAGCTATCTCATATCCTTCATCATTCATACTGTACTTTCATTTTCAGAACTCTACAATGGCCAAGCTTCTCGTCCTCGCCGTTCTCGCATGCATGGCCGCCATGGCCTGTGCCTCTGCCATCGGGTACCGTAGCTACGGCTACAAAAGTTACGACCCCGTTGACTACGGCTATGGATACAAGAGTTATGGTGGTCCTCTGGGAAACGGTTACGGATACAAGTACGGTGACTATGCCGGCAACAGGGGATACGCCAGGTACAACACGTACGGAAGCTACGGCGGACATGGTTACGGGTACGATAACTACGGTGGATACTTCGGTGGACTTGGTTATTACGGAAGATGTAAGTAGATTGTCGTAACATAATATATTATTTTCTGTGTCATGTCATGTCATTCTTGGGGTCCTTGGGGTAGCCTAGTGGTTAAAGTGTTCGTCCGTCCCGGGTTCGAATTCCAACATGGGTACAATATTTGAAGCCCATTTCTGGTGTCCCCCGCCGTGAAATATTGCTAAAAGCAGACATTCACTCATTTTATTCTTGAAATACATAATCCGTTCAGTCAGTTATATTCGTATCATAGAATCTTATTTGGAAAAAGACGATAGCGTAATTTATTTCCTTTAGCACTGGTTGTCCCATTCGTCTAAGGCGCCGCAAGTTGCTCTTCAGAGTTGCGTCACGTTGGCACGCCAGGAAGCCATGAAAGTGGGTTCGAATCCAGTTTGGTCCCAATTATGTTTCGATTATGTACACCGTACTCTGGGTCTCCATCCTCCATCACTTCGGACGTTTTGCTGACATTCAGCTGGCATGTTTTAAAATTGATATAACTGGAATGACATCTCGAAAGCAGGGTTAAACGAAATCATTAATTTATATATTGTGGAGCACAAGCATTACGTAAAGCAATATCCCTGACATATTTTTGTGATTTATTGAAACATTATGACTATACAATTACCTTTTCGAAAGTAACAAATGTCAAATGGGATAACATGTGGTATTTTATCGGAACATGACATCAAAGAAAAATCCCAAATATAACATGTTACACACTAGTCTTTATGATCTTTTATGACTTTTCACCTCGTTCACCCTATTTCAAGCTTTTGACATCCGACTTTAAACCGAAAACAATACCATTATAACACGTACAACAAGTGGGTAGCAACAAAATAAAATATTTTTTTTTATGTAACGTATACATGTATTGTGATTACATTGTTGTATAGGGGCGGTGGGGTAGCCTAGTGGTTACAGCGTTCGCTCGTCATGCCGAAGACACGAGTTCGATTCCCCACATGGCTACAATGTGTGAAGCCCATTTCTGGTGTACCCCGCCGTGGAATATTGCTTGAATATTGCTAAAAGCGGCGTAAAACCATACTCACTCACTCACATTGTTGTCTATATCATTATTTCCAAAACATCAAATTGATGTAACTATATTTTTCATTTAAAGTATATGATTTGACTGGTTTATGCATTATATTTTTCAGATTGAGCATAATGGATCCATGTGTCGTGATGGGCACGGGCTTGTGAAGCCATTACAAGAAACATCACAAGCATTACAATAAATGAGTAAGAAAACAGACATTCCGTTTGTGTTTATTATGCGTTACCATAAGCTGCAGAGCCGAAATTAAAGTACACACACTTGAAAACTGAATTCGCAAAACATGCAAGCATTCCCAAAAGTAACTGGGATGAAAAAGACCGCTGAAACACTGCAAAAACTTAAGGTCCAAATCACAACTATTACACACTGATCAAACAAATATTTCGTGATTGTTTCATTTTAAATTATAAAAAACATCAAATATGGGATATACCAGATTCCTTAAAAAAACAAATAATGATCATTGCTTTTGACGCAGTTACCTACAATATGTTTGCTACTCCATTACGTGTAAGCTTGAACTAGTTGGAAAGCCCGAAGTGGTGGATTTCGTAGGTGTTTAGCGCATTAGTGAAACTCACGAACACGGATATGATGCTATCTTTTCTCGGCGAATCTGGGATAGGAAAACACGATAATCATATTCTGGAACGTAATTCTAATCTTCGGTATGCAAAGCTTATGATATTGTAGTCTAGGCCACCCGTGTAACGAAACGATCTCCAGTATAAACTATTGGTTGATAGTGTGAACACCAAGCGCAAACTTTCATATGACGGTATTGTCATGCCGTCTTTGGTATATGAATAATCATGTCAGACATCTCGAAATGGATACGTACAAAATACATTATTTGTGTCCAATCAATACCCAATGTCGTTTCTTGAGATTTCATTATGAGGTACCTGAGCTTACTAAATCAACGGGGCGGCGGTGTAGCCTAGTGGTTAAAGCGTTCGCTCGTCACGACGAAGACCCGGGTTCGATTACCCACATGGGTACAATGTGTGAAGCCCATTTATGGTGTCCCCGCCGTGATTTTGCTGGAATATTGCTAAGGCGTAAAACTGAACTCACAACTAAATCAACAAAGAAGTAACGAAACCCGCATTGGCAGCTATGTACACACTCGCTGTCAAACTTCGAAGTTTATCATCTTTGTCTGCAAATAATCAAGTCTCGATCAGAAAAGTCGGTGACTGAATTTGGAACACCCTTCAACGCCGTTGGTAGTAACTTATGTTAATGGAGTGCATCGAATTACAGTACTAGTAATAACTGAATACCACAATACATCCTTAACTGTATATAATCATTATTAATGAGACTAAGGTAATCCGATCTTCAGCGTTCACAGAGAAAGAGCCCAGACTATGAATGCCGAGGTTTACGGAAAATGTTTTCTTCTTTTTATCTTCGTGCTATCTGATGAATAGTAACTGAAGCGGAAGCCGGTTACTCCTTGCTAAATCCGTGACCAAGATACTGTTTCAGCTGAATCACTTCTACGTTGATGGAATTCCATTGATGGAATATCCGGAAGGAAATCTGTCAGGAAGCTCACTATATATTATGATAGACTTTTAAGAACTCCTAACCCACATTCCACTATACCAGCTAATAATAACGACAAGTCACAACTCAGGTGTGACATAGTGATAGATATCGTGACAGTAGATATGTCGTTTTGCTATAACTGGCTTGATTCTAACTGCCGAGTTGTCACTGACTTCCGTGATCGACCCCATGCCGCAAGGCTGGTTGATTGGTTGGTGTTTACCGCCTCACTCAGCAATATGGCGGCGGTCTGTTAATAATCGAGCCTGATAATCCAGTGATCAACAGCATGAACATCTATCTACGCAATTGGGTACGATGACATGTGTTAACCAAGTCAGCGAGCCTGACCACCCGATCACGTTAGTCGCCTCTTAGGACAAGCATATTTAGCTGAAGACCGATTCTAACCCAGATCTTCACGGGTCCATGCCGCAAGTCCACGGACCGGTTAGTAGTTGATTTAATGACAAACTCTGCTCACAACCTTCTGTTCATTATATGTAGTTGCGTTTTAAGTTGTGTAGTCCGTGTCTGCGTTAATAACCTCAAGTCTTATGGTCTTGTATGAATGTCGCATTCCCGTTGTATTTGTGGATGTGTAACTCTCTTCGTTCACTTCACACATGTAAATCCAGCTAGGGTCCGTGCATAGAGCAAACGTACTGTAAATCCCTATGGTTCCTAGTTTGGTGATGTACCTCTACTTACTGGCGATTTATAACCCATTTTAATATCATCTTGTTGATTAATCATGTAATCTTTTAATTGGTATCAACTTCTTTTAAAATGTATCTGTGATATTCTAGTTATTATACTGTCCATCGATGAAGGGCTTCTTATTCGAAATTCAATCTATATTTGGTATTAATATTTGGCTGAAATATTGTCCTTGTGACGTAAACTTTTAACTCACTTTCTGTAGTTTTTTTACTACTTAAAGGTGCACACAATAGTTTTATATTAGTTACGTGTATCACATATGTAGCTCTAAATACTGTTTAGTTGTGGTGTCGTAAGAAGGCATTAGGCCCGGAGAGTTGTCCCTATAGGGGTCATTCGTAACTACTCGTCCCTTTCCGTAACACTCGTAACAATGTCCGGGAGAAATATTCCCCAAGCCAATCAGAATGCGCGTATGTAACGAAGAAATTGGGTTTAAATAGGTCTTTGAAATAATTTTCATTTCGGCTTGCATAATTTTTTCCCAGACACTTCAAGTATATTCTAATTATTGCATAGTCCTCCTGGGTTTCCTGAATTTTATAACCAGGATATATATTTACATTATGGCGTAGGAAAGTATTTAAGCATGTTAAACATACCCTTTGAGGTAATTTCTTTCGCGTGGATGCCATGTGTGTTTTCCAAGTAAACTAGAGTTACACGCCCTTGAAATAGTTCGGCGACTAGACTATTTCTTTCTCTCTGCGCTTTGCGCTCAGACAGAGCAACGTTCGACAAAATGGCTACGAGAGGGGTACGAGTCTACTTTCAGGTTATGGAAAGGGACGAGAAGTTACGAATGCATCGGGGCAAGATGACGTGAGTCACTTTCATTTTTCAGTTTGTCGGGTAATGACTCAGCAATGCATATTGTCAGTGAGCTATAATTACATTGCTATAAAGGTGGTTGGTTGGTTGGTTGTTGTTTAACGCCGCAAACGTTTATCTGATGTATTGCACATGGCTACAATTGGGCACGACAATTTGATCATTTAAACATGACAGGGCCAAGTTTAATATTTGTTTGTTCTTGAATGCTGCACTTATTAATATTCCAGATATTTGGAGGCGGTCTGTAAATAAACGAGTGTTGACCAGGCAATCCAGTGATCAAAAGCATAATCATCGATCTACGCAATTAGGGTGCGAGCCTGACCACCCGATCCTGCTAGCAGCCTCTTACGACAAGCGTGGGTTACTGACGATCAATTCTGACACGGATCTTCTCGGATTAAAAAATAAGTCAGAAACTTCATCCTCATGTGTTGTACACCATTCCTCTAAGAAGCACGCACCGTTCCCTAACTGAGGTTTCTGAAGACTTATTCTAATTTTATTACTGATAGCGACGTAAAATAACATTCACTCAAGCAATGTATCAGAGACGAACGGTTGTATGAAGGAAGCGTATTTATCAGCTGCCCATATAACATAACCTAAATTATGTCAAATATTGCTTAAAGTAGTTACATGTGTCTTTGTACATGGGTATATATATATCGGTATCCTTACATTTTAGGGAGAAGGTGTGGGAATTCAATTGCTTGTCACTTGTCGGTTAAGTTATTTCATGGGCGGTCCTCCCTACATGGATCCGTTGTACGAAGCCCATTTCTGGAGTCCCAGGCCGAGATATTGCAGGAATGTTGCTAAAAGCGGCGTAAAACAAGATTTACTCAGTTAGTTCCTAACACTGGAAAACCATAGTAAGACTATATTATTACCAAATGCACATTGAATTGCAGTGCCTTTGACAAACATGCCACACGCGCCTCGAAATATATTCTGTAGGTGTAAGCACAGAATTACCCAGGCTGTGTAAAATACCACTGTTACCCACTGTCAAATAGTGGTGATACCATGTTCGCGAAAAGACAAGCGTGTCCTGCTTACAACACATGCAAAGGCAAGGCAATTGCTGGCTTAAATCCCAGGGAACGTACGATGCGAGTCAGAATTGGTGAATTGCATCAGACGTAATTTTTTTTGTAATCGTGACCAAACAACTAAAATTATTTAAACACGATCACTGTGATATAGATAACAAAGACAAACTCGAAAACATCCAACATTTAATAACACACTCGTTAACCTGATTCAGGCAGAGCTAAACCCTGACGGGAAGGGCCACTCCTGCCGGTGCGTTAACTGGAGCGGCGGCTGCGGTGGCGGCAGATGCTGGGCCTACTCCTGCCCGTCTGGAAGCTGAAACATTTAAGGTTGCACTGCAACAATGATGATGATAATGATAAGATTATTGATGACTTTCAACTTCTTTGGAATAGGCCCATATACACTCTACGAAACAATCCTGACGACAAACCGATCTTGTCCTGTTTTGTAAAGACAATCAATTCATTCATCTCATTGTATTCTCTGTCCCTTTTGACAGCAATGCCATCAGCAAAATTCAGAAAAAGCATGACAAATATGGAGACTTCGAATTCGTCTGTGAAATGACTCGCGTACATCCGTTGAACACTGTCATGTACTCCCCATTGTTCTCGGTGCCCTTGGTTTGGTACCTCTTGATCTCTGGACGCAGATCAGGAGTGTGCCCGGATTCTCCACCGGGAGCACAGCCCTTCTGACACTCTGGGTTATAGAGTAGGCTGCTCGACTGTGCAGCACGTCCTTGGAGAAGTCCCATTCCCTGTCTCAGTTGGGTGTGAAAGGGACAAGAGACTTAAGCTAATGTGTTTAATCAGCATCAACACTCTTTGACGCATCTATACTGAGTCAAAAAGAAACTTCAAATTCTTTCTGCAGGGCACTATAAAAAGAACAAGAGATGGTAAGATGGTTAAATTGTTATTATTTCATTGCTGAGATCTGTGTGATGTACTCGATACACTGACAGTGCCATAATCAGTTCCATTCCAAAACATGGGTATACAGAATGTCAAGTCACAAGAATAAAAATGCGAAATTTCTCAGTTCAATATCGTGTATGGCCGCCCAGCGCATTCACCACTGCCAAACACCGTCTCCTCATCGACTGCCTGATGCTTGTGAACACGTGGTTGGGGATTCTGCGCCATTGCTCTTGCAAGGCAGCGCAAGAGCAAGCTCCTGCAAATTCTGAGGTTGGTTCCTAAGACCACGAAGCCTTCTCCCAAGTGCATCCCAAACGTGCTCTATTGGATTAAGGTCAAGGGACCTCGATGGCCAGTCCATGACGTTGATTCCAGCGTTTTGAAGGAAATTTCGTGTCAACATCGCGGTATGCGGCCGAGCATTATCATGCTGGAACTGTAGACCTGGGCCATGAGCCGCCATGAAAGGAACGAGTTCAGGGGTGAGCACCTGGTCGCGGAAAGCAGCAGCTGTGAGGTTTCCACGGATGACCAGAAGTCGGAAACGGTTGTTCCCACAGAAAGCACCCCACACCATGCAGCTTCCGCCCCCGAATCTGTCGACTTCCTGTACACAACATTGGGCATAGCGTTCACGACGTCGTCTCCAGACTCTATGCCTGCCGTCCGCGAATCTGAGGGTAAACCTAGATTCATCGCTAAAGACGACTCGATTCCAGTCTCTCTGGGTCCATCGGAGTTGACGTTGGGCCCACAGCAGACGTTGACGTTGATGAAACGGCGTCAATATTGGCCCACAATATGGACGTCGAGAATGTAGATTGGCAGCCCGCAACCGATTTTGAATGGTCTGTGAGGACAGTCGACCTCTAAACATCTCAGCCTTGGTTCGTGTAGCCGGCAGAAATCTGTCACGTAGGTTACGTAGGACGATTTGACGGTCTTCTGCTCGTGACGTCACACGTGGACGACCCGACCTTGGGCGATCAGAAGTGGTGCCAGTTTGTTGTTGACGACCTCGCAAGTCATACACAGTACGACGGCTGCATCCCATTGCTCTTGCGACGTCAATAACTGATCTTCCCGCTTGCAACATGCCAACGGCACGTTCACGTTGCACATCGTGGCATTTCAAGTACCGTTAGAACTGTGGTTCAAAAGTGTTTTTTCAATTCTTGAGGCCAATGCAAACACGTGCATATGAAGAAAACTTCGATGCGAAGATCACGCGATCGACTGCACGTGCAAAACCTGATTTGGCACTAACGTCATTTGTACGACGAATGGATGGATTTGAGTGGGTTTTGCTAACGTTTTTCTAGAGTCGAAAGATAGGGATCCCATTTCGGATACATAGATGTATCATCAGAGCAAAATTATTCATTATTTTTCAAATTACATTTTGTGAAGTTTCTTTTTTGACTCAGTATATTTGAATCTGTTGAATATATCAGTAACATCTTAAGCTACGTTGAGATACGCCAGGGGGTGTGCAGTCACATAATAAACTTACATTTTAGGGCGAATGCATGGAATACAATCGCATGCATGTCATCGGCTGTTGTTTCATGGTGATATATAGTCTAGAGGTTAGTGTTCGCTCGTTACCCTCAAGGCCCGAACTAGATTTCCAACGTTTATACAATTCGTGAGGCCCATTTCTGGTGCCTCCGCCGTGATATTGCTGGAATATAGCTAAAAAGCGTCAGTGGTCTAGTGGAAAGAGCCACAGTCAGGAGAAGTGAGTGAGTTTAGTTTAACGCCGCTTTTAGCAGTATTCCATCAATATCACGACGGTTGACACCAGAAACCTGCTTCACACATTGTACCCATGTTGGTCAGGAGAAGGGAAGGTTGGTTTCCGATCCCTGGGAGAGGATGGTATGAACGTGCCGGGCTCTCGATATTAAAGGATATGAAACAAGGGTGGTTGGGATCGGAGTCACTGTGCCACGTTAAACTACGTACCACAGTGGGCAAGTTCCAATTGGCCGATATAATTCTTAACTGGTGCTGGCATGGACATTATACGTGTGTGTTAAAGATGATCAATTATCTTGAACAAGACCTTAAACCTTACCTTATCTCAAAATTAAGACTTACTGACTGACTGAATTTGGTTTTACGCCGCTTTTAGCAATATTCCAGCAACATCACGGCGGGGGACACCAGAAATGGGCTTCACACATTGTGTCCATGTGGGGATTCGAACCCGGGTGTTGGGCGTGACGAGCCAACGCTTTAACCATTAGGCTACCCCACCGCCCCCTCAAAATTATGAATTGAAATGATGCATCGTCGGACAATATGTTTTCAGACATCGTATCATTTCGAACGGCAGTGTTCACTCGCACCGAAATCAAGGGGTGTTGCAGACAATAGAAATATTGAGACGGTCAAGTTTTAAGCTAAAGTTGTCGTTTATAAGTGAGTGAGATGATTAATCGATTCTTGTTTCAAAGTAAGGAATGTTTCGTGAATGTTCGAAACCCATAATGAGTATTTATGCCAATATTAACAACATTCCAGCAATATCATGGCGGGGGACACCACAAATGGGCTTCACACATTGTACCCACGTGGGGAAGCGAACCCGGTTCTTCGGTGTGACGAGAGAACGCTTTAACCACTAGCCTACCCCACCGCCCCACGAAATCCCATAACAGAAGGATACTTATCAAATGAGTTTCCGATATGTACACTATACCTTGTGTATCAAACACATCGTAGATGTAGCTGTCCCTTGGGTCAGCGTAGATGGGCTGGTACTGAGGCAGCACACTTGGTCTGTAATGTCCTCCCAGAACGGACCTTTGACCGTATGGGTAGTCGTACAGATCCTCTCTGTAGATCCCGGTCGGGAATACCTGACGGAGGCCTGGTTGAACAACGCCAGGGTAGGCCCGAGGATACACTCCTGGGAAACGGAGCCTTGGATGTAGGAGTTGAGGGAACAGTGTTGTTGCGTTGATGACAGGGCTTGCCACAAGGGCCAGGAGGAGAATGATGACAGCTCCGTTCATTGTGAGGTTTCTAGAAATTAAATGCATTTTCTATGACATGTTTGTTTCTTGTTTAACGCCGCACTCATCATTATTACAGCTATATGGCGAAAGTCTGTCAATAATCGTGTCTGGACAAGCCAGTCATGAGCATAAATGAGCATCGATCTACCCAATATGGATACGATGACATGGGTCAACTATTTCGGCGAGCCTGACCAACCGATCCCGCTAGTCGCCTCTCGGGTTGCTGAAGACGAAATCTAACCCTGCTTTTCATATTTTTCTATGACATGAGATGTTTACCAGTACGGCCAGAGAATACCGTGAATATACGATGCCTATATTGGTATGTAGATCGACATACTTTCGACGGCACGAAGATCACTGTTGTTTTACTAAGGTGGAAAAGACCTAATGTGTCTACTCAGATGATGATACAGCTGGAGGATACCGTGATCATGTTGACCCGTGACGATCCTGGTTAGAATTGGTCTTCAGTAACCCATGCTTGTTGTAAGAGGCGACTAACGGGATCGGGTGGTCAAGCTCGCTGACTTTGTTGACACATGTTATCGTATCCCTATTGCGTAGATCGATGCTTGTGCTGTTGATTGTCTGGTCCAGACTTGATTATTTACAGACCGCCGCCATATAGCAACAAACTAACCAACGTGATCATGTCCCTACTTAATGATATGTTGCTATTTTTGTAGATCCATATATATTGGGCTTCATGAAGAGCCCTGTTGTTTTACTGAGAAAGAAAAGACCGAATATGCCTACAAAGACCATTTCAAATGCAGCCTATCTAATAAAAATACCTATGTCTCAGAATTAGCAATACGAAGTATACTGTTTGTAATGGGTGTTATTTGCCAGTCAAAATACATTCGTTTGGCTCTTTCTTAGAATATAAAATAAAGATGAATGGATCGAAACAATGACCGTCAAAAATACGAATCTGATCTGGATGTCATTAGAGAAAATAGCATAAATAAATAAATCTGATTGATTTCAGAGAATTAATCCAACCAGAATGTCTAAACTCCCTTTACACGTTTCTCACAATGGAATTCCTTTCGGCAGGTGATACCAATGTGTATAACTATCAGTTAAGGTTGATGGTGTTCTTTTCAATTTCCCATTTTGACTTGTCACGTGGGTTCCTGTATTTTTACATATGAATAACTTACATGCCTTTGCGTGTGTTTGCAACTGATTGTATTCGCTGCGGTTGTGCAGGATTCGCACACCTTTCCCTGGTGTCATCTCTGTTTGATAGTGATTTGTAAACTCTTACTCGTGATATAGTCGGAATCTAAAATTCTGTTCTGATTTAGCAAAGATTCTTTATAGACGTTAGTTCTTGTGCTAAAGGGCTCTTCTTAAGACCGATCGATAGCTAACCATAGCATCACTCAAAACTGAGTGCGGACACTTTTCGCGACTATCTGAAACCACAAAACTGAGGAGCATCAAATCAATTAACCGCGAGAAAAATAAGCTATATATTTTTGCAGACAAAAACAAAACCCAACTTACCTCACAGTGATTCGTCTGGATGTTATATGAAGCGAGCCGTCAGTATCTGCTCTATTTTCGACAACACGCTCTGCTTTTATAGCACCCCGAAAAGTCATATAGTGACGTGTTTATCGTAAGTATTGACAGGTGGATCAACCCTAATGTTTACCTGCCAATCAGATCAACACGTTTCCCACAACAGTAGACTATTACCAGTATGATCAATCGTTTGTAAAGATGTCGTAAACATCTTATTGTCGATGTAACTTCCTGCTAAGAAAGAACATTAACTCACTTTTAACACAACATGAAGTCGATCTTGCTTTATACGTTGATGAATGTAGATGTGGTCTGTTTTTATGCTTATTGTAACATTTGAGAGAGTACAATATAGAACAAACTTTATGGATAACAACAGCAGAGTTTATACAGTACATTGGGCTGGGTGGATGAGTGCATCATAAGCGGATGGAATGAAGTATCCTTGGTCTCGGTTGATGGTGGGCTTTTGGCTTTTGATGTGGATGGCTTCGGTGAACTTGCGTTTAGTATCTACTGTATAAACTCTGCTGTATAAACATCTCATTATTATTTGTACATCATTGGCTTCCACGCCTGTCCTTTGTCTACTCTCTGGTTTCATCAGCTTTCTGCCTAGCCAATTATGTTAATTATGTTGTTTTCTTTGTTACATTGTTATATCCAGTATATATATACTTCCCCCTTCTTCATGTTCCATTATGCTTGCCAACGGTACAAGAATCTGTATCGAAATGTCGCACTCACGAATAAAAAGAAGTTGTTATCCATAAAGTGTGTTCTATATTGTACTTCCCAACTTCTAAAATGCCACTCAAAGAAGAATTTGAGAGAGTGATGGAGGTGGGTTTTACGATATATGTAGCAGTGCTTCCGTTACACCCAACATTATTTACAGTAGATCGGAGTAGCAGTTGCAGTGGAAGAAGTAGTAGTACCTACATCAATGTCTATCAGAAATAGTGGACATTGTAGTAGAGGTAGTCGTAATGGTACTGGAAGCCTTAGTAGTAGTAGTGGCAGTAGTAATGGTAGTAGCAGTAGTAGCAGCAGTAGTAGTGGTAGGAGTAGTAGAAGTCTTACTATGACTAGTAGTAGCAGTAGTAGTAAGAGTGGTAGTAGTAGTAGTAGTAGTAGTAGTAGTAGTAGTAGTAGTAGTAGTAGTAGTAGAAGTCTTAATAATAGTAGTAGTAGTGAGGTGAGGTGAGGTGAGGTGAAATTGGGTTTAACGTCGTGCTTGAGAATATTTCGCTCATATGACGACGTGCATGCGTATGTGTATGTGCGGCTGCTTGTACTAGCCCAGACTTAAGCTGGTTTTATAGTGCTAGCCCACTGATATACCATGTCGCAGTTAAGCATGAATACCCCACTCAGACACATTATACTGACTCCGAGCCGACCAGCCCTTGTTATACCCATTAATTCCGAGCGCCAGGCAGGGAACAACAAGTACCATATTTTAAGGTCTTTTGGTATGACGCGGTCAGGGATCAAACCTGCGACCTTCCGCTCTCCGGGCGGACGCTCTAACCACTACACCACGGAGGCGGTCAGTAGTAGTAGTAGTAGCAGTAGCAGTAGCAGTAGCAGTAGCAGTAGTAGTTTGTTGGGTAATGCCGCACACAGCAGTATACCAGCTACATGACATCATTCTGGAAGTAATTGAGTCTTTGCTCGTGAATCAAGTGATCAACGCCCTTTACAACAATTATCGGCCGCTGAAGAGTAGTAGTAGTAGTAGTAGAAGAAGAAGAAGAAGAAGAAAGTAGTAGTAGTAGTAGTAGTAGTAGTAGTAGTAGTAGTAGCAGTAGCAGAAGACGAAGTAGTAGTAGTAAATCAAAATATTAAATTGATTAATTATGACGCAACAAGTAGATGACGTCATATCAAACATTATGACGTCAACAGCGGCATGAGTTTTGAAAGACTGTCACAGCTGGATTGTCTTACGACTACTGAGAATGTTGACAATCAACCTCGGCACTATACAGTTTATATTTTCCGTCACATCGATGCATCCATCTATGTGTTTGCCCGATTAACCGTACGAGTTAATCAAGTGCTGGTCCCAGTTGCCTGGTCATGCATAACGCCATATCATTGCTGGAAACTCTTGTCCAGCGTTAAGCCTGTGGGTCTCTAGATCCCCTGATGAACTACTTTGCACGTTGTGACCGCCACAATATGATTCGTTGGTAGTCACGGACACACATCAAATATAAACAATAAATGTACAAATACTCATACAACGTACGCACGAAATAACTGTCACATATATTAATGTCGCCAGTGCTTCAGATTAACAGTCATCTACAGAATGATATTTCTCGCCTTGCCACATGATGAACAAGCTTTAAACTGTCACTTGCACTGTCACTGAAAACTAAACCAAGGTTGTAATGATCTTAATGAAAGATGGCAAACTGCATATCAAAATTTCACAATGTCACAAGATTTCGACGCTTGCTCGATGGTTGTGTGAACAGGTTACCACAATCAACACCTCGGGAAATCTTTCAAATCGTTTAACGATAGGCATGTGGAGAAAAGTTCACAAGACAAGGAGCACAACATCAAGCGGAAAGACCATTTTGCTTCCACGTCACCGTCACACATATCTCTCTTTGTATGGCCAATACTGGGCGTTGAGAAGCCGAAAATGGCACAATGGACAGTTCACATATGAGTTCAAATGCTATCTGGAGAGCTTTAATGGTCCGGCAAGGACGTAACGGCGTCTAGGAACAGGACCAAGCGACGCTCCCTTCGGTGTGCGGTTGAAGTGTTATGGTACGTGGTGGGATCGAAACTCATTTTTTGTTGTTCAACTCCAAACTCAGCAAAATTTCAGCCATATGGTGGCAGTCTGCAAATAATCGAGACTAAACCAGACAATCCAGTGATCAGCATGAAAATCGATCCACTCAATTGGGATATGATGACATGTGGCAACCAAGTCAGCCAGCCTGAACACCCTTTTCATTAGTCGCCTCTTACGACAAGCATGGGTTACTGAATACCAGGGTGTCACAGTGAAGCATGATTACCCTACTCAGACACATTATACTGACTCAAAGCCGACCTTGTTGTACCCATTAATGCCGAGCGCCAGGCAGGGACCAACAAGTAACATATTTTACCGTATTTTGGTATGACGCGGTCTGAATACCAGGGTGTTGTTGTACAAAACATCCTTAGCACTAAGATTACCTTAAGTCTATGTTAAGCTATTGGAGTTACGGTCACCTTAGCTCTAAGATTGCTTTGTACAACGGCACCCAGTTCCAACCCGACTCCTCACGGGTGAAAAATGTTTTGAGAATAAACTTCATGGATGAGGAGGAGCAGGGTTATGGATTGACAACTTATTTATCAAGCATGATAACGATGTCAGCATCTGCACCGAAACGTTGCACCTTTTGCAATAAAGACGTTGTCAATACATAAAACTGTATTGTTCCTCTTCATCATACCAACTTCTAAACGCAACTTAAAGAAGTTACACCTCATGAACGTTAATGGCAGGACGACCTCGGTCGATATCATGCTCTGCCCTTTCATCAAATTCAGGTATGTCAACTCACGTTGCAGCAGGGGAATGCATGCTCCCATGTCAGGTAACACAATTTAGTGGTAGTATGGTATTGGTGTACTGCCATAGCCGGCTGTTTCTCCAGATTTCCTTCTCTGAACCCAGAATCGATAATTCGAATCGATCTCGAATGGGCTAATCCTTGATTGACATTTGGTACTATGTTCCCAAGGCTGTCGTGAATCATCTAGTGTTTTCAATACGGCGACACTTTCTTTAATTATTACTGATATTCCGTATTTTGGAAGAACAAGAAACCTTAGAGCTAAGCTGTTTTGTGGTGCGCCAGTGGTAGCGTACATTTATACATGAGTTGGCAGCAATAACGGCAGAGTGAGTGAGTGAGTATGCTTTTAGCAATATTCCCGCAATTTTGGACACCAGAAATTGACTTCACACATTGTACACATGTGGGAAATCGAGCCCGGATCTTCGACGTGACGAACGATCGCTTTATTCACTAGGTTACCCCACCACTACTTATAAGGGCAGAGATCAATTGCCATGGGATATTTGTTGAACAATTAAGCCACTAGAGACTACTACTACAAAAGCAGTATGGTCACAGGTAAATCGAGACGGCTGGCCCGCATCTCTGGAACAATCTTCCATCTCACCTCAGACCACAACCAGATTTGGCTGTTTTTAAATCAAATCTAATGACTTGTCTCTTTACTATTTGAATTTAATGTAACGAACCAACGGATATAACGAAGTGACGGATATTACGAACTCTTTTTGTGTCCCTGCCACATGCAATGAATAACGGTTAAATGTGCGTGTGTGTGTGTTTGTGCGTGTGTGTGTGTGTAAACGGAAACTGTCTCGTTGTTGCTTATGTCCCTTTGATCGATTGTTTTCGTATAAAGACGATTAAAATAACACCAATCTGTTGAACATATCCTGTAAGCATCTCTGCTATTGCAGCAATTTGCCTTCATCAGTTCAGAAAGTTTGGCAGTGCTACCAATCACAGTACATATAACATTACCATAAAAATATATGTATCAGTGATATATACCGGTGCAAAAGGTGCAAACCACCATCCAACATGATGGACCTTGACTTCGATGTTTCAGCATTTCAGTTTATCAATGCATTTGATGAACTTGTTCAGTCGTCATACTATCGTGGTATTACTTGTCGCAGACAGACTGATAAGATAAAGGTTGGGGCAACTACGATGATAACTAGGTCTTTCAAGAGATTAACTAGATAATAAAATCTATTGATAACATACCTGATACGTTAAATTCTTTGGTGGATGTACTAATGTGAACCAATGTATTGATCTGTTCTGTATAGTGGTGCAACAAAACCGTATTTCAGATACATCACGGTATGTCACCTCGATGCAGTTCGAATAAAGGAGACCCGTGAAGATCCAGGTTAGAATTGATCTTCAGTACCCATGCTTGTCTTAAGAGGCGACTAACGGGATCGGATGGTCAGGCTCTCCGAGTTAGTTGACACATGTAATCGTGTCATCAGTTGCGTAGATCGGTGTTTATGCTCAGTGGATTGTCTGGTCCAGACTCGATTATGTACAGACCACCGCCATATAGCTGGAATATTGCTGAGTTCGGCGTAAAACTAAACTCACTCACTCGAATTAAAGTACAGTGCTAGCATACTGAGAATCGTAACCATTATACGAACCCATCATCACTTACTTAAGCATTCCTGCTGGACGCGACTCTTCACAGCCAATTACCACTAGACCCTTGTTTTGGATTGTGAAACTTTCCTTATAAATCATATCATCTGTCTCGCACATCCATCTACATCCAGACCCATTTACTTATTCAATACCACAATCAGATTATAGGTATCGAGTGTGTACATTAATTATTGTTCCCCTTCTACCCAAATGTCATTTATTCTATAAGTATCGTGCGATCAATGCTAAATAGGCAGAATGAATCACGCTGTTTACGAGGGGATGGTATAAAGTACGAAATGCCACTGGTGCCATCGCTTAGAAGGGACGGCTACAACTGAAGACACACAAAGGTAGGTTATCTTGGCATGTAATTTATAATCTTTGGTTCTTCTTTGTGTAAGATATCTGTGTATAATTCAAATAATCCTTAACTGCTAAGGTGGTATAAATTTACATTTGTAAGCAGATACAAAGTTAAGGCCTAGACTTAAATGTGTGTTGGAAATGTTCATTTCAATATACAAAAGTTAAAGAATGTTTTCATTAAAACAAAAAAACTTTGAAACATCAGATTATAATGTCCTATTCTCTCTTTAAACAACAATACAGTAGAATATCATAATTATTTGTTTCAATAAAGAATATTCGCGTCTCGCCAGATCAGACTATGTTGTTATGTTTTAACAGCAATACAGTAGAATATCATATTTGTTGTTATGATTTATAGATCAAGGTATATTTCAAATGTTAAGCCAGTCGGTATTTCTTGTAACGTCAGTGTTGAACAAAAGAAATACCATTCTCTATTTCCAATTAAGAAACATATTTCATGGAAGTTTTTATCTAATGCAAATATCAGTTTGTTTAGCACACTCGAGCCAGCATCAAATGCTACAATAATACAAGCAGCGTACACACACCAAACATTGTTAGAGGAAACAGTGAAAACATGTTCTGGTATGGGCTGAGTAACATTTTAAATATACAGATGAAGGAAATGGAGTTTTAATGTCTGATTCAGGCATCCTATGACCTCGAATTGGCTAAAGTCTACGTTGCCTTTATGAAAGGAGTTTCCTCAGAGTAGTATTTTTTAAACAGCTTCAAACGTCCTATGACCTCAAATTGGTCAAAGTCTGCACCACCGTTAACAAAGAATTCGTCCAGAGCCGACACGACTAAACATTGTTAAAAAAATAGATACTCAAAATGGTGATTTAATGACGTATTCAAGCTTCCTATAACCTTCAATTGGACAAAACCAACAACGCATTTAAGGAAGTGTTCTTTTCGGGTCTTTTTTAATCATACAGATAGCGTATAACCTTGGTCATCATGAGTTCTCGACTCGACGGAGGTATGATTCCTGAATCGAAAAGCACCAAGTGACATTCGTTGTGGGAGCTTATCTATTTGAGTGGTCTCTGACAAAAACCTAAACATTATTGTGTACATAATATGCTTTATGTACATGAACACTGTGAAACAATACAAGTGACTTGCGTTCCTTTCCACTTACACTTTTTCTACAAAAGTAAAATTATGTGTTCAATTAAAATAGACACGTGTCATATTACGATATGATGGAGTAAAATTTCATAAGATCTTTTGTCCCGGGAGCTTTTGTCTTGGAACTAAACCTTTGGTAGGTTGGTTTGTTGTTTAACGCCGCACTCAGCAATATTACAGCTAAATAATCGGGTCTGGACAAGACAATCCAGTGATCAACAGCATGAGCGTCGAAGGCAGAAAACGTTTGACAAACAAACACAAAGACAGTGGATTGACCATATATTATGCGTGAGTGCCAAATCTGTTTTGGGTCACATGCTGACCGCGAAGCATCCCCTATGATCCCTGTAACGATGCATGGGATAATTCCCAACATGTCCGTACAATACTATTTAACAAACTTTCACGAAGAGCGCATAAGGGGCTATAACACGGGAAATTAGCAAATGAAATCGCAATTTTGTTGTTACCCACATGTACAGTATCATGATATGTTCATTTTACGACGCATTCTTTGAGCATGTTGGTATATCATATTCAGGCTTTCTGGGCCATCGATGTTCTGTGTGAAATAAAACCAGTAACATATAATAGAAGCGACAAAAGGCTTTTCACATTCATAAGAAATCTATGCTGACTATATCATGAGCATATATTTGTTTAACCATGTTTCTTTGAACCGGATGGTTTTATAAAGCGGATATGGTTTCTATAATAAAGAACTGAACAGTCCGGATTATTGACGTTTCAGATAAATTACTTTTTAAACGCCATATCATCCATAACATACATTTATGTTGTTTTCGCGCCTGCAATCTAATTATTACCGTGCGTATCAGTTAGCATAATTGTCAAGTTGGCATATTGGCAAACTATTGGAATATCATATATTCGGTGCGTTCGAACACTATGGCTAATCGCATCGGAAATAGAAACGACAAAACCAAATTAAAAAGACACATGTCCATGCGGCGTGTAGTTCAGCACTATATGAGTCATCATGGAAGCCTTTTCGACGTAGGGCAGATTTCATTTGCCGGAACAGGGGAAGTGGGGTGCTTCCATTGCATTGATTCAAATTTAGTTTCTGAGTCCCAGTGGTGGCTCCATGTTTCATGACCTGTCACTAGACAAGAAAGAAATCCGGCTTCATCAGCAGTATAGAGATCAAGGAGCTATCGACAACTTTCAATTCTCTGATGGCGATCTTGAGCTCTGAGGGTTCTAGGTACCCATCTTGGACATACCAAGATGCTCATGAATAATGGTTTCAACCGTTACAACTGATAGTTGGAATTCCTTAGAAAGTTCAGATTTAGTTCAGTTTTATTCGTCGGTCAGACCAAATTCCTCTTTCCATAGCGGCTATGGTTTCCGGTTGGGTGGCATCTGAAGGCCTGCCTAACCTTCAGTCATTGTCTATGGACTCCCTACCCCTTTGAAACTGTAGATACCAACGGTAAACTATGGAACAGTCAGGAGCATCCTTACCCACCATTTTACACATGCGATTATGGATTTCTTTTGCTTTCCATCCCTCCTTGGTAAGGAACTTTATTACAGCGCGTTGTCTGAGAGAATCCATGACTTTGACCACCCTTAGGTGAGGTGAGGTGAAATTGGGTTTAACGTCGTGCTTGAGAATATTTCGCTCATATGACGACGTGCATGCGTGTGTATGTGTATGTGCGGCTGCTTCTACTAGCACAGACTGAAGCTGGTTTTATAGTGCTAGCCCACTGAGATACCATGCCGCAGTGAAGCATGAATGCCCCACTCAGACACATTATACTGACTCCGAGCCGACCAGTCCTTGTTGTACCCATTAATGCCGAGCGCCAGGCAGGGACCAACAAGTACCATATTTTAACGTCATTTGGTATGACGCGGTCGGGGATCGAACCCGCGACCTGCCGCTCTCTCCACCCTTAGGTGAATGAAGCCATCATATCTAACTTATTGTTGTGTCTGGAATTTGTCATCACACGTGTCAACCTGATGTTATGACTAGTGTCACACCTGCCACAAGTTGACCCGTAAAATGTTTGTGTAAACACAAATGCCCAAGTTGCAAAACTTATTGGGCGCCCCTCATAATATTGACTATCAGATTAGATGCGATGCTTATAGAATTGTTGTCACATGAAAACAAGAAGGTATTTTATTTTATAAGGACTGACAATTGTCGATCTGACAAGTCATGCAAACTAACTATGCACACTGTTGACAGAACAATTTCAACTGTCAGAGGTTTTCACTCGTGTAATTCATATCATTTGAGAAACACCAAACTCTGCGTGTATCTTGGTATTTTCATGTTTCTCTTTTGTCCAAAACCATCAGTTGAACATGACCACTACCCAAGCCGTATAATGCTATACCTTACTCCATGATATGCATAAAAACATATTGTGATAAAATATAGGAATGAAGTGTATGAACATTTATACTTTATTGTCCGAAAGTTTGTTTTTGTTGGAATTTGGTTTACACCAGATGCGGTGATAACATAACATAGTATACCATTACTATACACGGGAAAAACGCATTTTGTATTTGGACATAAGGATTTACAGAGGTATGTGGTGTGTAGTCTTTTGCATGCAGCCCAGGGTGCCGTTGTACAACGCGATCTTAGCGCTAAGGTGGCCATAACTCCCATACCTTAACATAGACTTAATAGTCTTAGTGCTAAGGTTGTTTTGTACAACGGCACCCAGGTCTCAAATCAGTTGAAGTTAGCAAACGTTGGTCACGGAGAGTGTTGGATTGGTGACCGTGTTTGGCAGCTTGACTCATGAGAGTCTCTGGGCCCCACAACGGCCACACGTTACACATGTGGCCTCACCTTAGTCAAGTAAATTTGTACAAAATTGCCTCTGTTCACCCATAAAAAGTGGGTAGCCGGTGGGATAAGTCATATGACTATTAACCTTCTAGCGCCTCACAGCTACAGGCAATAATGTCCATTGTATTGTATGCGCCTAGAGAATGCCCGTTCGGCAAGGATTTCACCTGGCCCTATTGTTTTAATAATAAAAGATTAAAAAATATACTGAATTTGTAAAGTAATAAAAGGAAAGAAATGGGTTTTAAAATAGATGAAAGCTAGACACACAATGCCCTTTGAACAGATGATTTGTAAATCAAAAGCAAGAGTAACATTGCTGATATTACAAGACCTTATTTCACATAGAAAGCAAGTGTTTGTTGACGTTTTCGGAGATTCTTTTGGCATTTGCTCTAAAATTCAATTTATCATCAATAGCAGTTCCCAGATCTTGTTACAATATACGATTAGCAATGCATTAATAACATATTGTATGACAGGTAAAACAAGTATTTATTAGACAAAATATTTTTTGTTGACACAGAAACTGCTTCTAGACAATATTTACATACGCATGGCATCAATTTCAGCATCCAAATGGTGAAGCAAGTTTTCATCCTGCTGGTCATCAGCCTGGTCATCTCCCTGACCTATTCCTACCACACAGTTGGACGACGGAGCGCCTACAGCGGCAGAAACTACTACTACGGCAACACCCCTCTCAGCAACAAAAACTTCCTTCGCTATGGTTACGGTTATGACTACAGCCCAGAGTATGTAGACGTCAACTACAACTATGGCGGCAGATATCTTTACTAAACATTATGGTAAGGGTTTAAAATTACTTTCTGGTGCTCATGAGCTTTTAAAATGTCCTTAACACTGAAATAACAGTTATTAAAGCGTTCGCTTCCCCACTTGGGTACAATGTGTGAAGCCTCAACAATCATATTGCTGAAATATTGCTAAAAGGGGCGTAAAACAATATTCACTCACTAAAATGGAGTTTGAATCAGTATAACTGCATAATTAGTATGCTAATCAAAGACTGAAGGAGACCCTCAAACTGCGAATCACTTATTGCGTGGGTGAGATTTATGCCTTGAATAGTACTTCCTTTCTACTATACCCTTTCCATATCCATAATATATCTCAACCCAAGGTAAGGTAAATATATATCATGAACATGTGTATAAAGTGATTATACAAATGTTTTCGAAAAGGTGAACGCATCCTGCCCACCGGTTTGCACCGTTAAACTCATGCAAAGGTCGTTTCACCAAAATAAAGAATTGCATTGGGCATTATTTTGTCACAAAAAGATGATTTTAAAACTTTCTTCTGTCATATGCCTATTGTAAATGTTAGGCTACTCTAATGTCCACGTGTATACACTCAGTAGGCTTTTAAATATTTTGTTTGTACTTCAGGTCCTTGGCGTCCTTTGGTGAATTCGGTGGCGTGAAGTTATGTCATATTGCCTTCTCGTGTAGCTTTATTAGAAATAAAAAGAACTCATCATACTGTTATTGTTTATGAGACTATTTCACATTTTGATACTACATAGCTTATAAGCTACACTTGAGAATCAAGTCAACACGTAGGGAGTTTATCAAGAGGCATCTCGGCTACATTCTCCCATCATCAACCCTCATTTGTCATGATCGGTTATTGGAAGTGAAGTGAGCTTGTCAGAGTTATTGCTCGGCCTAATACCCGTGCGATATCTGTCATCATATATGTGACATGTCGGATACCAGTTCTCGACAGCTGACGGACATGTCGTGAAAAAGTCTCCAGGAATTCAGTCTACCAAATTTATGTATTTCTATTAAAACGACATGATAGCATTGAGGTTTTGAGTGTACCAAACTTATGTCTCACTATTTAAACAGACAGTATTATGGTTTTGAGGCTACCAAACTTATGTCTCTCTATTTAAACAAACAGTATTAAGGTTTTGAGGCTATGTCCCTCCATTTAAAATATATTCTTTTTTCAATTTTGTGGAAAAGCATAGTTCCATACATTACCACTGGAAAACACAACCAAATCTCCGACTCGTGACACGTCTGAGGTACAGGTAGTACTTCGATTACTGTGTAATATTGTAACTCCTTTAATACTTAAACAAGTACGGATCATAGTGGTGTACAAAGAATGGCTGTTTTTATTTTCACAGTACAGCTTTGTGGTGTAGCAATTTACGCAGAGTCAGACAGAGACTCCCAGGAGAAGGCGGTGGCATGTGGTGCTGTGTATAGAGCATAAGCAACGTTGGGCGCGGAGAGTTATTGCATCCGTGACCGTGTTTGGCAGCTTGACTATTGAGACATGTGCTCTCACCTTAGGCAAGTGAGTTGAAAATTGCCTCTGTTCCCTCAGGAGAAAATGGGACCCGGTGGGATAAGTCATGTAACAAGTAATCTTCTAGCGCCTCACAGGCAGCTTGGATTATTGGGGGTTATAATATTCAGATTGTTTGGGTGCTTCGAGCATGCATTGTGCATGGAGAAATGCGCATGATAAATGGACTAATATTATTACTATCATAGAAAGCGGAGAAGTCAGGCTGCCACTTGGGCACCATATAGGCTAAATTGGCTGGTCAGTGTTCGTCCTTCTGTGTCGTTGGCTTGCCTTCTGCTGTGCTGGTGTCTCCGCGCTCTTAAGCTTCTTGCTGTCTGTCGGCTCTCTCTTTGCTTGCCCATAGGGTCTGCCTTTAAAGGCAGATGAACGGCTAACAATCTCCAAAGATTCATATAGACATAATCTCGTTAGATTCATATTTTGACTAGCTTGACATATCTCTGACAAATAGCTTTACAACACATCAACAAAGACCTTTGTCAAGTATCAGACTGTCATGCTCCCTGAATTGATATAAGATTCTAAGAATATCGTAGTCTGAAAAGTGACTGACAGGGATTAATGGTAAATCCTAGTGAACAAAAGAGTTTGTCAATATCACGCACTCATACTGTTGATGACTGGAATGCCTGGCCCAGACTCGATTATTCACAGACCGCCACCATATAGCTGGAATATTGCTACGTGCGGCATAACACTAAACTCACTCACTCTCTTAATATCCAAGGGACATTTCGTAATTAACTGAGATATGTTCGACTGCTTTCAAAGCCGAATGTTAGGACTCTTACTTAAAATGCACATATTCCATAGCGTCATTCGTGGTTTTCCGATTAAAAATAACTGAGAGAACCATCGTTCCTTCTTACTTTCTCTGGGGCGTTGGGGTAGCCTATTGGGTTCGAATCCCCACATGGGTACAATTTCTGATGTCCCTTGCCGTGATATTGCTGGAATATTGCTAAAAGCGGCGTAAAACCAAACTCAGTCAGTCAGTCAGTCAGTCTAACTTTCTCTGCGAATCAAAAATCTGCGAAAATGTATTCATTTTTATCTCAAACACTTGCAGGCTAAATAACCTTCGTTTGTTGTTTCAGTTTCTAATTTCTTCATCAGTCATGCAGGCGTAAATCTGAGAAAACTAATAACTGCCGATGTTGTAATGTTGTGAGGGTTATACGTTTACGCTGGTTTCTGGAGCAAAGGACAAAGCATGCCTTTTCTTATCATAGTCACTAATTTGTCAAAAGTATCTACATCTGATGATTAGTGAGAAGCGACAAATACCTCATCAAGATTGGTACCCACGTGTGTTGCTTGTACTGCCTGCCTTTCTGTCGGTTCCTCGTCACACGACTACGGCAACGTCCGTAAAATGGTCGGCCACCCTGACTTCAGTTATTTCCTTGACTGCTATCATGCCGGTACGAGTTGCCTCCCCTTAACCACTTTGAAATCGATTTACAGCTCATGCTCGTCTCGCGACACATTCTACGTTTCATTTTAATGTTGTAACTGCAACATTTCCACATGACCATGATCATACACAAACACGCACGCCCACACATTTTACACAAACTAAAATGATACTTTAACATAACAAGGCGACATAAAATAAATTTCTTGTTTCTCATCACTTTTTTAAAAAAAGATGATGATTAGGTAGGGCGGATTTTACTTTTATTTTTCCCCCTTATTTCCCATTCAGTGTTAGTCGAAAACTTGGAATGCCGGAAGCTGATACGGATTTGGGAAGTTGACCGGCTTTATACACGCAACTTTACCAATGCCAAAACATTTAAATCAGATTAGGGTCGGGCGGTCATGAGAAACGAGAAATTATTTTTATGTGGCCTGACATGCTTTTGTAACATGAAACATAAATTAGCTTGTTTCATGAAGGGATTCATGGTCAACATATGCATTTCGTCATGTGCTTCGCATTCAGTGCAAACCTCTCTCGGTTGAGGGGATCGGGGAGTCATTCAGAGTTACCTCCCTTGCATTTCATTGAATGCCGTCCCCACTTGAAAAATAGACCCTTTCATCGGGATTCTTCAGCAGCCGGATGAAAGGTTTCATCTGACTCGCAAATGATTTGCAATTCCGTGTCGCAACAAAGCCGCACCACAACAGTCGAACTGTATATCACCAACGGTCTGGTTTAATCAAGGACGACTATACTGTGGTGTAAATGCATCTTGAAAATCGCATATTACTCGGTTATTATTATTTTCCATATCTGAGTGAGTAGGGTACGTTTTACGCCGCTTTTAGTAATATTCCAGCAATATCACGGCGGAAAACACCAGAAATGGGATTCACACATTGCACCCATGTGGGGAATCGAACCCGGATCTTCGGCGTGACGAGCGAACACTTTAACCACTAGGGTTCCCTCAACCCGTCCATAAGTAACGGAAGCAAATATACAGACTCTCGAATCTGAAACTTAACAAATCTTTTTCCGCGATCTTGGGCTTGACGAGCCAGAGGTTATCTTCGAGGTTAATTAACCGCTCCTAGCAAATATTGGAATTAGTGTCCATCAGACACATTCGCTTTTAAAAAACAACAACTTTAATATGTGTTGATATGCATACATCATCGTTGTATTGAATACAGTTGGCAGTTAGATGTCAGCTTGTACCAGTATTCCTGCATGTCGTTAGTAAAACAAAGTCAATGTCGTCAAAACATAATCTGTATGAGAGAGATACAAAATCTGCATGCCGATAGAAATTAATGTTTTTAGTATCGTTAGAAAAAAATAGTTTATATGCTACCAAAGAAATTAACTAGAATGTAGCTTGACAATTACATGTAAAGGCATAACATATGCAAATATATAGTCAGAGAAATTTATTAGTATATATATAGTCAGAGACCAACAAAAATCTTCCGACATGCCTGGATTGGTACAAGTGACCTGTAACGACAATCAACAAGAGCAATAACGACAGTCAACATTTGGACCCTCACAACCACAGTTGCAGGGTTCACATGACCGCCCACGTGTCTGGACATGATTGTGACAGGTTCCCCATGCAGTCCACTCGCTCCATGACCCCAGCTCCTCCTTCCATGGGGTCAGGTCAACCGTGTCCAGTGAGCTACAGGGCACTCTGAAAGGAAGAAAAAATATTTAGCAAGTAGTCTTAAACTTGTCAGATGGGTACACAAATTACGCGATTGAGACTACCAATTGTCAGATCACTGTCAATCACTGTTTTGCGATTAGTTGACTGACTCTGAGAGCCTGGGTTCGAATATGAGATGTGACTCAAACAAAAACGAAAGTACTAAAATGTGTAATTTGCTCTGAAACTCAAAGATAGGTTATATAACTTGTTATCTTGTCTTCACGTTGTCTACTCGATTTGTAATTCGGGTATGTACTCAAGGGTTTGTACAAGCTTGGACTGACTTGTTGACATTATTTGTCAAACTACTACAAAAAACGGATGGTCCAATATATATTAGACTACCGGGAACGGATACCTGTATATTCTGTCACAGAAACAGAACTTTAAATAGATTCGATATTCGAAATGTTCGTTGTTTTCTTCAAAGTTTTGAGTTTTTCCAACAGGACAACATCTTTCCAATGATTCTTTTCTCGTAATTTGTATTACTTTCTCGAATTTTCCAGCTTCTAAAACATACTTGAAGAAAAGAGAAATTGTTTGTGAAATTACGAGAAATAGTCGGTGTGTTGACATGACTATGACTATTGGTAAACACAACATTTTCGTCAGTGCAATTTAAGGGCAACTCAAAATAAAAACATTACAGCAGTTCATGGTATCTTACATGTCCGCCATTTTCTCAAACATGAGCTTATAACAAAGGGATATAACTCTCCTTAACTAAGTGACATTGTGACTTAAATAAGAGCAAAATATGCATCTCAGACTAAACTAAAGTTTACATCCTAAAACCCCCATTAAAACTTAAAATTTTACAAATTAACAAGTTGCATCATTCGAATACTGGACACCGGTTTCGTGAACACATCAGCCAAATTGCACTCACTTAGTACATACACCAGCTCAGCTGACCCATACTGAACTTCTGCCCTAACAAAATGGTACTCGATATCAGTATGTTTAGATCCTTGCTGACTGACAGAGTTCTTGGCAAGTGAGATTGGCTCCTGATTGTCAACATTCAGGAGTACAGTTGCACATACATACTGATTGCTCTTAGGTATAGTTGTCTGGGGAACTTCCCTTCCTGAGTTGCAGCACTCAAAGCCATGTACGCTGTTTCACATGTTGATAGCACTACAGTTTGCTGTTTCTTGCTCTTCCAGGAAATCAGTGGTGCGTCACCCATATCCAGTCATACTATGTCGGTCATCTGACGTCCCCCCTTTGATTCTATGGACATCATCACATGCCACAATGGTATCATCCACCCAACCAGTCATGATGACTGGATACCCATTAGCCCTTTTAAAGTAAACACATGGATCCGCCAAGGACTGATTGAAACCGGCTTCTGTTAGGTGGTCACGTAAACAGGAGTGTTCCAATTCCTGCCACTCTGTTTTAAACCTCAGATGGATTTCTAAATCTACACACTAGTTTCTCACGGTTTTGTCAACTTTCTCAAATCCATCTTGTTGTTCCATGTAGATTTCACAATCTATTGGAGCATTCAAGTAAGCAGTTTTTACATCCATTTGGTGGACGGTCATGTGATTTGCGACTGCCAGTTGCATTAACATACGGATGGATGTCAATTAAGCCGTGTGAGCAAATGTCTCCGTGTATTCTTGGTCCTTTACCTGCGAGTCGCCCTTGGCCACATATCTGGCCTTGTACTTCTGTGGGTTGGACATCGGCCACAACTGTCGTTCTATCTCCAGGGAGAGTTGTCAATTCAAACGTGTCATCTTTTATGCGGGCGCACATCTCCTCCTCCATTGTTTCTTGTCATTTGCCAGCGTCTGGGGACTTCACTGCCTTCACGTAAGATGTGGGAACATCATCAGTATGAAATTGTGATTCTGCCACATAGCAGAGTATGAAACTCAAGAAACATTCATCCAGACCACAGGGCTGCATAGATGTAAAACTTGCCAGCCCTGACCAAAACTTACCTGCCCGCAAATAATTTAGGTTCGACAATCGACGTAGTTTATCATCCAATTGGAATACATTTGTTTTTAGGACCGACCGTTCTAATTTTTTTCCCATTCCAACACTGACAACTCGAACCTAAAACGTACCGCCTCGTCATATAAAATGTTTATCTTTTAATCAGTCGTGGCCACAAATCCAAAGGACGCGAGAAATTGTTATAAGAATTACAATAAATGAGAATCAAGAACATTATTTAGATAATTTTGTCTTTATTAAGTTTTTCATATGCAGTTTTTGCAGTGTATCTCTTTCTACCAAATTTTGTATCATGTGTGCGTCTCCTACAAAAACCACACCATCTATTAATTCTGACACTGTTTGATGTTATCTCACTCCCATTTTTGTCCTCACTTTTGCACTGGTATGGTTTGTGACCCACTTTTCCACATGTAAAACACCTTATTTTCAGAACACTGTCATCGCCATGTGCTATCCGAACCTTTACAGTTTCTTCATAATTTCGCAAAGAAGTCTTAAAATTAAGGAATGTCATAGCTGTTTCTCTTTGAGTTACAACGGTTGAGAATGTCTTGTTATTTGCTGGTGACCCTTTCCGAACAATGTCAACTATCAATGATTACTTCATCAGCCCTCTTCAATGAATTTGCTGCTTACTCAGCCCTTATTACATAATCAGTAACACTTTTTTCTGGTCCCGTTTTCAATATAGTCAGTTTTGTATACAGTGATATTATCCTGGGCCCCCCTTGCCCCACATAAAGTTTTTGAATGCTTTTCTACCATCATTTTTAGCATCTCTTATGATTAGACACAAACGTTTATCGTCTAAACATTGCACAAGCTCTGCAAACACATTCGCATTCTTCCCATCATCTGGTGGATTTGCATTATCCCCAGGTTCAATCACATCCAACAACTTTCTTAATCTCAAATACCCATGAAATTTAACCTCCCAAAGTTCATATTTTGATTCATTTCCAACAAAAGCAACGCGTTCTCTGGGCCTATAACCCATTGACATGATGACTATGGCTTTTGATAAACACAATCGTTTCTTCAGTTTCAGTGCAATGTAATGCAAACTCAAAATAAAAACATTCCAGCAGTTCATGGTATCTTACATGTCCGCCATGTTCTCAAACATATGCTTTTAAGAAAGGGATGTAACTCTCAAAAGCACATAAAATCTCAGACTAAACTTAAGTTTACATCCTAACTTGGTGTAACGAGATAAAACTTCGAAATTTCAAGAAAAAGGAATCGAAGTTACGTATTATATTCGAAGTTCTCAACAGCACATCGAATATAATACAAGATAAGTTATATTCCGTAGACACATATGCACGTATCTCAAACAACCGACTAAAGGAAAGCTCCCTCTCAAATCTATCTTGAGTTCATATTTATAAACTGAGAAAAACAAATTGTTAATGACCTCAGGATAACTTACTTTACGCCCTTGATGAAAGCGTTAACCTGTATGGTGACAGTGTCGGTGTTGTCACAGAATATTCGAGACAAACTTGCCTTGCGGATTTCTGCCAACTGATCTGTAAAATAGATTGCCTTCCTGTAACAGATCCTGCATGTTACGTTGTAACGGTGTCTTGATTAATTCGTTTCCTGTAGTTTTGAATTTGCGCAGCTTTGAATATTCCATATGCTTGAAAACGTCGCCATTGTGAAAATAAAGAAGTTGATCATCCATAAAGTTTTGTCATCTTATAAATATATATATATATATATATATAGAGAGAGAGAGAGAGAGAGAGTGTGTGTGTGTGTGTGTGTGTGTGTGTGTGTGTCAATGCGTATGTCTGTATGCGACTGAATCTACTTACTTGAAAATGAATTGAATCAAAATGCAAACATTTTCAAATGGTATACAGATCACTATTAGGTTTCTAGTCTGAAAACGGTCACTTCAAATGTATGTTGTAAACACACCCCATAATCCTGTATGGAACATGGAAGCATAATCTCCCTTGCCCGACAGATTTTATATATTCCGGAAAATAACTGATAAATGTGGTAGAACCTAACCGGGAGAGAATCTAACGTAGTCATTATCTTCCTCAAACCAGTATCTGTCTCCTTCCTTGAGAGCCTGGAACTGTTGCCCCAGAAGGCATGCGAACGTTGGTCCTACAAGCCCTCCCGATACATGCTCTTCACTTATAGCCCCAGAGAATAGGTCGATGTCGTGAACGTCGCTGAAAAATATACGTCATGATGATTTGATCTAGTGGTATGTTATGAGAATATATATTCTAGCACGACATTGTATGATACTCCATTCTGATTGGCTGAGAGCTCATCAAAACCGTACTGAAATGGCAGTTTAAGACCGCTAATTAAAGTGACCGATTCACCGTGTATGAATACAATGAACTCGTTGACCCTTTTGTTTGTAAACAAACATGTCGGACGTCGGCGATTTGAAGTAAAAAGCGAATGGTTTGAAGAAGAAGCTGGAAAATTCGTCAGCAGCGCAAAAGCGGCAGTATTCTAGATCCAGCGGGCATGACGTCGACAACACACGTCGGCCCACACGTCCTAACCTGACCGCTGCCCGTCTCGGGAGGAATGCCCAGTCCTTCCACTTCAACTGTCCATGTATCCCACATAAAACGTGGCATGTCAGGTCTTTTCCAAATTGGGAATAGTAGGGTGGTTATCAACAATTATTTCCGTGAATAAAGTTAGCGGCGACTAAACTTAGTGAGTTAACGGCTTGAATTGGGGCGAGTCGATTGTCATACAGTAGGGGAGATCAATAATTCGCTTGAGAAAAATCAAATAACTGTACATGCTCACAGTATAAACTGTATTTTCTTTTATTTATGTATGCTACTTGTTACAAATACAAGCATACTGGTTGTTGAAAATGTCTTACTTTGCTCATTACACAACCTGTCCCTCAACGGGACGATTCCAAGCGATTTCCAGCAAAAAAGGCCCCTTCACGCCTTGTGTTCTTGCGCGCCAAACAGTTTGGTTTTTAGCAGTCGTGCTAGAATGAAGATAAAGCTACTCTGTTTTCAATTTTGCAGTCCTTTATCGTTGATTTAAGACCGCTAACTGTTCGGTTTCTAAATTTAATTTAGCGGTCTTAATCAACGATAAAGGACCGCAAAATTGAAAACAGATTAGCCCTATCTTCTAAATGAAGTCATCGGATGAACTTCGACAACCAGAGCATCTTTCAAGTCAAAAAGAATGTTAGGTAAAATATCCCCGTATTATATTATGCTCTGTAAATAGTCGACTCTGAGTGAATGAGTGGGTAAGTTGGGTTTCCAGTATTCTAAGTATTCCTGTCAGCTTAGCGTGGTAGGAACTAATACAGATCTCAGACGTTTACCATGTTGGTGACACCAATGAGCACGGGTATGACGCTGACAAATCTAGAAACATAACTGGGGCAAACCGTTACTCGAACCAACAATCATTGGTTTCTGGGGCGTCAAAGGGTCGCAACTCTGTAAAACGACTGCACTACCCGTGCCCCTAATCTAATGTCAACCAAGCTTAACCAACATGGTCGGCTAACTTCGACCAGGATGCTGTTGTACGAAACAACCTTAGCGATAAGAGAACCGTAGGTCTATGCTAAGGTATGGGAGTTGTATCGCATTCGAGACCTGTGACTTGGCTGCTCGGTTGAGACCGAGAATACGTGGCTTGCAGCTGTTGACTGTATTGATTAGTTTAACATACTTACGGTTCTCTCAAGTAAATACTTGGTCCCTCCGTATTCCATATTAAGTAATTATTTTCGGTTGTGTTGAAAATTTGATTTCTACGTATTTTCCTACAACTTCAGTGTCATTTAAAGGTTGCTTTAATATTGCTTGAAAGTCGATGTCTGCGGTGTTGAAAACCGTTAGTCCGATTCTCTATACTAAAGAACTAAGAAAACGTTTCTTACTCGTAGGCCATCCTCAACTTGTTCACTGTGGCGTTAGAATGGGTCGTATTTATCAGATCGTCAAAATTACCAGCAACTGGCATTCCACAGAACGTCCTCCAAACTGTGTAAGGGGGTAAGCCATGATCTCTTCCTCTCTGGATATTAAGAGCTGCAACGTCCAAACTCCTGTTCCCATCAGGGAAAAGGTTGTCGGTCAACTCTTGCGATATCTTGCAGTCTACAGACTGTACACATTCTGTAACCAAACCTCTTATAAAGCCACCAATGGTTCGATTGTCCTCGCTGATAATAAGATGGGTATTGTCGAACGCTTCACTCAGAGGTGTTTGCCCGAGGTTGTCATAGTCTGGACTGTAACTTGCAAGGAATGACCCGACCATTGAGTGTCCCATCCTGAAGGCTGCTGTTGCAAAGACGTTCCTGATGCTTGCGTCGGTTGTGTTATCGTAGACGTTGGAGTATCCTACTGGCACGAGACTCAAGTTGTGCGGGTCCATCTGATCTCCGCTGATGACAGGCAAGAAGTCGCCATACGTGATTTTCTTTAAGAGAAAGTTTATATATAGATTTCATTATTAATATGTAAACATGTCAAGCCAATCACACATAAATCGTATAAGATTATCATTTATGTATGGATATAGCGATGATAGCACGCGGTTTGTATATATAAAGACGCGGAAAGTGTGATTCCTTTCTTGACGTTTTAAACAGTATTCATATTATTCATCGGCGTGTTAGATTTGTGTGCAATGAAAACCTGAATTGAGATAGGCCTTTGACGTTACCCAATTGGGTGTATCCCGCGAGTTAGTTTACCTTTACGCGGCACTAATCCAGCAATAATCCAGCTGTATGGACATATCTCATTCTCTGACGCTGTCAAAAACTGTCCTTTGTTGGCTCCATATACCTTAATCTCTTGAGTTGCGTGGCCAGTATCTCACCAGTAGCCATATGCCCTAACGCGTTCTTCGCTGAAGACATCACTGTCAGGAATCGATTCCCTTGTTACCCTGAGTCTGCGTGTTCTTGGGCTTGCCTGATTGATCTGTCTCAGGTAAGTTACAGCAACCCGAGGGCATCCAAAAGTGGTTAGCTCCCATCCGCATCGTACTCTCTCATTGTTCACTCGTGAAGATCCGGGTTAGACTTGATTCTCAGTAACCCATGCTTGTCGTAGGAGGCGACTAACGGGATCGGGTGATCAGACTCGCTGACTTGGTTGACACATGTTATCGTATCTCAATTGCGTAGATCGATGCTCATGCCATTGATCACTGGATTGTCTGGTCCAGACTCGATTATTTACAGACCGGCGCCATATTTCTGGAATATTGATAAATGTGGCGTAAAACTAAACTCACTCTGTCACTCAATATGCCACATGTGTCTATAAGATATGGCAATATGCTCGGTTGACACGCATCAGTGTTCCGTCCAGCAGTTCAAAACAATCCGCAAAATCAATATTTGCATTGAGATTATGTCCAACATCCTGGGCTCTTTGAAGAAAACCGTGCAATACCTTCTTTTCTTCATGAGCCTTCAAAAGAAGGTCGACCCGTGAAGGTCCGGGTTAGAATGAGCCTTCAGTAACTCATGCTTGTCGTAAGAGGCGACTAACGGGATCCGGTGATCAGACTCGCTGACTTGGTTGACACATGTTATCGTATCTCAATTGCGTAGATCGATGCTCATGCCATTGATCACTGGATTGTCTGGTCCAGACTCGATTATTTACAGACCGGCGCCATATTTCTGGAATATTGATAAATGCGGCGTAAAACTAAACTCACTCTGTCACTCAATATGCCCCAATCTGTCTATAAGATATGGCAATATGCTCGGTTGACACGCATCAGTGTTCCGTCCAGCAGTTCAAAACAATCCGCAAAATCAATATTTGCATTGAGTTTATGTCCAACATCCTGGGCTCTTTGAAGAAAACCGTGCAATACCTTCTTTTCTTCATGAGCCTTCAAAAGAAGGTCGACCCGTGAAGGTCCGGGTTAGAATGAGCCTTCAGTAACTCATGCCTGTCGTAAGAGGCGACTAACGGGATCGGGTGGTCAGGCTCGCTGACTTGGGTGACACATGTCATCGGTTCCCAATTGCGCAGATCGATGCTCATGCTGTTGATCACTGGATTGTCTGATCCAGACTCGATTATTTACAGACCGGCGCCATATAGCTGGAATATTGCTGAGTGCGGCGTAAAACTAAACTCATTCACTCACTCAAAAGAAGATCACCACACAAACGTCCACTGTGAATTAATCTTTCAAGAGTAGCCTCTGCGTTAATGAAACCACGGCCGCGCAATATAACTGTAAACATAAGTGCTTATGGGAAGAAGAGAGTGATGGGCTTTTTTGTCTGACATTATTCTTCATGTAAGGGTGTCAATACCCCGAATGTCGTGTTTCGTCCAATTATCATTAGTTTTGTTTTTGTTATTACTACTACTACCATAGACTCTTAGCCAGATGTCTGGTTTACCCTTCCTCGAAAGTATACATGGGTCTCTATCTATACGTTAATGTGTTCATTAAGAGCAACTGAATTTGTCTCGGACAGACATTACTGTGTTTTATGAACAGTATTGTTTTAATGCAGTAAAACTGTACCTGTGCATATGCTCCAACTATCTTCCTGGCTTCCTGGAAGAGTCTTTCATCTCCCCAGTGACAGTTCAGTTCCTTTAGTCTGCTGGCTAAACGGTTGTGTTCCCTCACGAAGATAGTGTGCATACTCTGAAGTCCAGGATTCTCATTCGCCCGATGGTCACCTAAGAAAATAGAACAATGTTATAATGTCGACTAACTCTGATTTATTAGACACACGGTCTTCAACACATTATCTCAGGAGGGGAATCGAGCCTGGGTCTCCGGCGTCAGGAGCTACTACCAGGAACTACCAGGGTATACCGTCACCCTTGGAGGTTAACGGTTGCTAAATGGACATAACGCTCATGTCTCGCCCAACATGTCTCCTATTTGCATACTTTAATAGTGCCAGAAATTTTCATTATGTTTTGAGATGTATCCAGTTTGCCAGTTGGCTTATTGATTTCAGAAAGTGGGCCTATCTGAACATGGGCTAACATGTTTCTTGATTTTTAACAATTATATGATCCCACTATTTGAGCTGTGCCTGAGAAACAGTTACGTGATCATGCTCACTCACGAAACCAAGAAAGCAAATGAGACGTTTGACATCGGGATGTCTTTAGTCTTTGTTCAAAATACAAATCACCAGTCACAGTGTATGACTAAGTGAGTGAGTGAGTTTAGTTTTACGCCGCTTTTAGCAATATTCCAGCAATGTGGGAACACCACAAATTGGATTCACACATTATACTCATGTTGAGAATCGAACCCGGGTGTTCAGCGTGACGAGCGAACGCTTTATCCACAAGACTACCCCAGCGCTCGTGTATGACTGACATGGTAATAACTTAAGTGTTGTTTATAACATTGTTATTGTTGTTTCAACTATATCTCGTTCTAAGTCACCTCGAACCAACTCAACGTTATTTGCATAAAATCTTGCTCAATGACTTTTCAGTTTGCGGAAGTAAGGACAACAGCGTGTATTCTGCAGTCCTGCGGCCTAGATGCATATCTGTCAAGCTCAAGGAAAGAAACCTTTCAAAATTTCCCTCTACACCACAGGACCAGTGAGAGGTCAATAATTAGTGGTCCTGTCTGTAAAAAAATATCCTAGATTTCGGGAAGAAATGCACTGGCCACCAGGGCCACCGCAAACTTATCATTTAGTTGTCCTACTAGCCAGGGACCACAGACCCAGCGTAAATTTCGCACATTGCTTCAAGCTGACGTGCCATGACAGAGATATAGTTCACCCACTGCCTTCCTGTACTAACCAGCGAGGAAGCAATAATCTGGTGTAGTCTGAGTCCTGCAAGCTCCTTCATTCTCCAAGTCAGGTGGCAGAAAGTCGTTGGCTGCAGTTCTAAGTTTCCCTGATAGCAGAGAAGTTCTTCAATGAGTCGAGTCTCAAAATAAACATATAAGGACACAGGTTTGTTATCTGTTTTCTGTCGTTATACTAGTTTAAATATCTTCTCATGATGTTTTGTTTGTATGTCTGCATATTTTATAGACATAATTGTTCCTGGGATTTATACACAAACTGCTTTCTGTTTCACTTGCAAGGTTGAGCCAAACATATTTTAAAATATGAATATGTCAAATGAAAGATTTTGATTTAAATTAATTAATTTTAAATCAAAGCCTGAACATTTGGGAGGAGAAAAAATGAATGTGATACGGTCTGCCTACCGTCAACAAATGTCCGTAGTGAGTTCTGTTCGTCCTGTGACGACCCGTACACCTGTGAAGCGTCTACGTAGGCTGTAATCTGGTTCAGCTGCTCCACGGGGGCTGGAACATAGTAAATGATACATGACGGACCCCAGGTACACGCCGTTTTACAAACTATATAGCATCCAGTCGTCTCAACATGGTCGTGATCAGATAAAGATGCTACTATTGCTATATGGTGTGGACAAGCAGTAGGTATGATTATATCTGTTATATGGCCTTTGTTTGAAACAGTAGTGTAATCAGAGATAAATATCACACACGCACACACGCAAGCACGCACACACACCAGGTATGCTAGTTCACTGCTAGTCGGATATTTTCACCCTTCACATCAGTTATTGCTAAGCTAAAGATTAGGTAGTATCAGCCTTCAGTTCAGGCATCGGTGTCCTTGGTATTCTTACACTCCGGTTGACAATGCCATGTTGATGCCCTGCTACTTAAATATTCTTTCCCACCCTTCAGTGTACATACCCGTACCCTCAACCCAAAAGCCATGCAATGTTTGATGCCACTTCAATCCAGTCAGACAAGCTATGGCAGAATTTCATACCTGATTTACAGTTGGCGTTCTCGATTTGCACCGACCGTACAAAATTCATGCAACCATAATCAAATCGCCTGTCTCCCGCTTCGATGTCAATAGCAAAGCACTGGGGTCTGTCGAAAACAGGTACTTGATATCAGATACAGATACAGGTTTTAGGAGTGAGGTGAGGTGAGGTGAAATTTGGTCTAACGTCGTGCTTGAGAATAGTTCGCTCATATGACGACGTGCATGCGTGTGTATGTGTATGTGCGGCTGCTTGTACTAGCCCAGACTTAAGCTGGTTTTGTAGTGCTAGCCCACTGAGATACCATGCGGCAGTGAAGCATGAATACCCCACTCAGACACATCATACTGACTCCGAGCCGACCAGTCCTTGTTGTACCCAACAAGTACCATATTTAAACGTCTTTTGGTATGACGCGGTCGGGGATCGAACCCGCGACCTTCCGCTCTCCGGGCGGACGCTCTAACCACTACACCACGGAGGCGGTCGTTTTAGGAGTGCCATCCCAGAGAACAATATACATTTGTGAGATATTAATGTCTGTTTTAAAATGGAGACTACAAACTTATATACAATTAAGACAAAACAGATGATCGACGAGTATAAATGTCAATACAGGTCTAGAGTTGACGACACTAAAAGTTTTTCACTGGCCACGAGGGGGACATGGGTTGATGCACCCCCTGTGTTTGTTTATGTTGCCTGAGACCGAAGGGTACATCAACCCATGGGCCCCGACTGACCAGTGAACAACGTATTTATCTAACCGAACACCTCAATGTTAATATTGAACTGTTTGAAGCACGGGCATTGGATCATGAAAAAGGAGTACCAGAGTTAGGCAATTAGCCAATACCGACAACGACAGACGACAGAAAAACAAATTTAGAGTTATCTCCCTTCCCTCGCTTTGCATTCGCAAAATATCGGTAATTTCCGTACATCATTCGTGACTCAATTAATCGAGATATAGAATGACTAACACGAAGTACCAAAATTCTCACAGTTATATATTACCATCTGGTCACATATAAATTTTACTCGCTTGAAAGCGGGGTACATTGAAAATAATAGAAGAGCGCTCAGCCAATCAGAAAACGACATTTATGTGTGAGGTAAGATAAACGCTCTTACGAACATATTATGCAACAATGTTTTTGTCTGTAGAACATAACACAAAAAACATGTTTGATACTTTGCATTGCACGCAGAAACACCACAAACTTTCAGTTGTCATCCTTGATTTTGACACCTTCAATCTTCTGCTTACCATACGGGTGTGAGATACCTGAATACATTTATCTTCCGTTTGTGAACTGGCAATGCGGAAAACTCGGGTTGTCAGAGATAAGTGGCCAGTACAGTACGTTCAACCTTTCACATTCTACGATCAACAGTCTATAGAATGTGTACAGGAAATCCAAAATATTCAAGGTTCATCTTCTTCGGGGCGTTCCAGGTCGACGACAAGCGTACAGGATCGATTGATGCAGGCTATATGCAAACGTTTCTTAAGTTACTGGACTACGAGGGACGAGTCAGAAATGATCTCCATGCAGCGAGTCCCATGTTAGATGGCAACACGTTCTTCCTTACAAACTGTCATATTTCCAACAGGTCGACGTCGATGAAACTGGGGCACTCGTTGCTGGGATATTTCTGAGTGTGACGTTAAACAACCCAAAAGAAGATTTTCTCAGTCGTACACATTGGTTTCTTTTAATATTCCAGATATATCACGATTGAGTAAAACCATTCACATTGGTATCTTATGACAAGACATAGAGAGCAGGGGCCTTGTGTAAACCTTCCCACGACAGCTTATAAACGTATTGAACATTTTAATTAAATTTCTTATTATTTCAAAGTTTCAGAATGAAAACCATTTACCTTTTATCTAAATCTTCTTGCGTTATGTTGGCATCTTCGAAAAGGCCTACACAACAAGCCACCGTTGATCCATGTTCGGCTGGAAAACAAAATATTGTGTAGTGCCGAACTAGAGAACATACACACGTGAAAAGTGTAGCTCTTACAGATCAATTTTAAACGCTATCGAAATCACTGACAACAGTTGTATAAACATTGCACACATAACACTGTAACAAAAGTCATCACCATCAAATATATATATACAGTCAGACCTCGTTAATACGAACACTTTGGTTTTGTACATCCGTTGTTTGTCTCCTTTTGAGCGCCTATCAACCATCATTTTGTTTCTATTGCACAGTTCTATGTATCTCAACGGTCAGGGTGTGGGCCTTAGGATTGCATCAGTAATATACCGCAACACCCATCTTAAACCATGTCTTCTAAACTGTCATATTTTCATGTCATTCCCACTCCCGCTCCCGTTCCCACCCTCACACCCAACTTCAAGGGTTTGACACATTTGATCGAATCTATCTATCCCGGCACCCCTTATCCCTGTCACTCTTTCATGACCCGCCTATCTTTCCCTGACTATACATACGGCAGCTGGAACAGAGCTCGATTCAATTTTGAATATTGATGAAGTAATAATATGACAGAGATCGTTTGCAACCAAAGTTAGGCCACCATACTAGGAACCGTCGGGACTTACAAAACCTCAGTCCCCCAGCTTGATTTATTCCATACCTTCAGTTCTAGTGGTTGTACGCAAGGTTAGCCTTATATTTAAATCTACATACATACGACGATTTAAAAACTGTGGAAGACCTAAGTGTTCTTTGAATGATGTTGACTTACATACCCTCTCGGGGCAATACTGAGTCTAGGTCAGCCAGATCAGTGGTTGTTAGCAGGAACACGGATGTCAAACATTTCCCACATCCTATTTGCAACAGATTGAGTTCATTGAGCAACATTCTCTCTCTGTTTCTCCTGCATTACAATTGAAAGGCTGTAACATGTACTTTGAACTTACATCCAGGATGCGTCAGCTCTTGAATGGGTGTGCTGGTGATGTCGTGGTCCAGGAACTGACCCCACTGCATCAGCATGACTGTGAAAAGGGGATGAAGGTCTTCTGCTGATGAAGGAGGGTGGACGGTGGTGCTGACTGTACGAGTACTGGGCAGTTCCACTCCTGACGTGCTGTTCTGTCTTGGGCTAGACACAGCTATTCTCAAAGTAAATAGTATCATATTCACATGTAACTTCACAGAAGTGAACATAGTCTATCATACAGATCCCGAAACAAATATGTGGTCAATGTAGCCCATGGAAGTCTGGAATATGTGACAAGTGTGGATTACCACGGTTTCAGAAAATGAAGAAAGTCTCTGGGCACCTTTTTTATATTTTATTTTAATTTACAAAGTATGTTCTTTTCAGAGACTAGCTGTTGGTCTAAAGTGTACCATCGCACACTTTAAGCACCAGTTCAAATGGCATCCCGTTAGCTATTGTAAAATAATGTTCATTTCAAAGACCAACTGTCAGTTTAAAGTGAACCTCTGACAGGCAAAGCACCATGCCATATGACACCCCTTTAGTGATAGGAAATGAATGGTACACATTTAACGTACCGTCATCATATACCGGAGGCAGGTAGCGTCTCATAGGAATAAACGACCTTCCCCACGAGGTGTATACGAGGTTGTTGCAATGTCCATCGGCTGTCCGGTAGGGAGATTTCTCGTTGCACGTGTATTCACGATCACAGAGGACCTCGGGTCCAAATCCTTCCTCCAAGATAGACGATGGTACTTCTCCTAGTGTCCTGACACTGTAATTACAAACAACAGATGCATTTCCATAATTTTAAGAAAGGACTCCAAAAAGTAATTTAAACTGTATCTATGCATAAACGTAACTTATAGCAACAAACGCTATGCATAATCATAAGAAATCACAAGAGGTGTTGATACCAGGTGTTCCCGTAAAGGTGAGACCTTACTGCACCATCGGTGGCACCCATCACAAACACATGCAAAGACAAATCAATATGTCCCTTTGATAAACACGGGAGCATATGATACAAGTCAACTAGATTAAAAGGGCGTTGTGTAAAGTTTAATACTGGGAATGGACATTTGATCAGGAGGGCACGATGAAGGACGACACAGACAATAGAATATAGTGGCACATGAGCGGCTGAACACATATCGCACACAATACCACAGCCATCAGATTTTGATAAATGGGAATGTGTCCTCAACAACTGCATGTTAGGAGTTCTATCGACAATTATTTGAATTTCTTAATGTGTCTATAGGATGTGTACGAGTTGAGGAAGCTTTTTGCTGAAATCTGAATATGAGCAAGGTTTTCTAGAGAAGTGATTTTCTCTGGAGACGTAAACAAACAAAGTACAAGTACGAAATAACAATTTTTGCATTTTTCTCTTGCGGTTCGGGGAAAATTTCCCGTTTCACTCCAATTACCAACCATATATCAAGTTCGTGGGGTGAAGCATGAAAAAGGTTAAAAAATGGCTATACATATGTTTCAAACTTTTTCACTGTGAATTAGCAGTGGACCAGATAGGTACCTTAATCGTATTATCTGGCCAAACATTGATCAAACATCAGTAACACCCGAGAATCTGAAAACATTTAATGCTAATCCCCCACCCCTTCCTTTACGGGCATTAATTATCAATAACACCTGTAACACATAAATCTGAAAACACACAATGTTTATCTCCCAAATGCCCAGGACAAATATACTTACTGTTCCAATATAAGCCTTGATACGATTACGTTGAGTCGATGGTCAGCTCCTCGACGACTGCTATCCAGAAACGTGAACGTAATTGAACTGTGCTGTTGTGTGGTAGAGCCAAGCTGATTTGCTGCTTGATCTATAACACCAATTATACATATAATCGATTTGACGTGAAACACTAAATATATTAATATGATTGATCGATACAGTACTCCTCAAGCTAGAAGCATACCTGAAAACATTTTTAAGAGAAAATCGACATTTAAAAAGAATTCAAAGTCATCGAACAGACAATATATTGTCATTTTCCTTAAGACCCATGTTATACGGTTGTTTTTTCTTGTTTTAGTGATTTAATAAACGTTAAAAAAATTACCCACCTTATGAAATATAATTGTACATTTGAAAGACATATAACACATATTGCGTAAATAGAGTAACAGTGATTTGCGAAGAAGCATTCTTTCATGTGGATTCGATATGCATTAACTTTCTATGAACACATTTGGAAACGGTAACTTATACGGAGGATCATCAACCTTATATGTCCCAAATAATTCTGTTTTGTAGTTAGGACACTTAAAGCTACCACATGGTTAAAAACCCGAACATTTTTCTTAAACGTTAACACTCATTCAGTTATTGGCCTTGTAAGTCATGTAAGAAGTGAAACTGTTACTTTGAGGACAGTATCTAAAAAACGTATCGAAAACATACCACTGAGCTGATTTTATATGTATATTTTCAGTTTCTGTATGATATTGTGCAGAACAAATACTTCAACGTGTTGTATTTTAAAAACAAAAATTAACTTGATTTTTAAATTAGAAAACAAATTTGCATAAGACACAACTGCTGAAAGGCAACTTACAATCAAGAGACATGTCTCTGACATCTTGTGTTTCAATATAGACAAATTCGCTCTTTTCAGCACAAATTCACATATCGAACAAGGATGCATATGATTGCAAATGAATCACTCAACTCAAGTTTAATGGAACCAGATTATTTTTAAAACTTTTTATTTAGATAATGATGGTTGACAAAACATCAAATTAAACATTCTTTCAGTTTACAAAACCCATCCGCGTACTTTCGTTTGCTCCTCAGTATATAAAGTGGGGCGTTTGAGGCAGAAATTGTGCACTTTTGGTACAAGCACCAAATTTACTTGGAACACTTATATATTGAATAAATCCGACCTTTTCTGAATATATATGCAATATATGCTCAATATATCATAATTATCTCGTCATATTCAGCATTTGTATCAGGATTAACTGGAACAGTGATGTACATATTCCCAATTTATTACGCAATCTGGTGGTGAGGAAACTCCACGATGGCTTACATTCCAAGTATACCAAGGAGTATTCGTCCCTATACACATGACGTGACATCACAACCGATGAAGACAACCGGTAGTTCCAATTTCATGTGCAGCTATATATATTGTGTGTTTGCCAACGTGTAATCATATCAATACTTCATCAACTGGTGTCTGATGGATGTTTGTTATCGTTATGTGAACAACGTTAACATCTGTGTCATCAGTTCTAATCGTCACTTTTTTGTGACCATTGTGTAAAGCAGCAGATAGGTGCAATTCAAGATGGGTGTTGGCTTATTCATGTGAGCACTCCTCCAGTCTTCTGTCGGCTGTTTCAGGAGACGTTACAACTCTTTTCTCAAGGTGCTGTAAAATAGTTTTCCTTCTAAATCTATTGAAGTCACCTGTTCAGCTGGCAATGCAAAAAGCTCAATTTTGTTCTTATTAACTCGCAAGAAGCTTCACCAGTTACTTGGAACAATTCATGATGGTTTGACTCTTCCTCTTTGACTTGCAACGTTGTTCTCTGTTGAATGCTTTTAGGTTGTCTCATAGTTAGGTGGCACGTCTGTCTACGGGTTAATGATACCACAAATATATAGCAAAAAATGCATCCTGGATATACTCTTGAAATGTTACTGATGTTCTTGGGTGAAGCATTTTCACAATCATATCAATTGTCACTGCAGAAACGTTTGGAGTAGCATCTGGTGGTTCCGCTTGTAGAGCTTTAAGTTGTACAAGAGGGTCTGTTTTGTTCCAGATCTAATTTCTCCCATCTTTGACAATGAAAGAGGTCACTGCTGATTCTCGTGCTTGAAGAAATATTTATGGTTTCCTTCTCACGTACTATGTACAACCTGGGAAACAGAGCACAACCGCCCTTACCTGATGCAACATGAGTCATCTGAGGAGCCTTGAGAATTGTAGCAGCTTATCCTTCTTTATGGTTCCTCTATTGATTTTTTTCCTGTCCAACGAACCTTACAAAACGCTCATATTGCTCTCTGCCTGCTATCTAAGCATGTCCCTGGTATCTACTCTCAGCAGATCACCACTGTCCTCACATATCCCTAGCTGACAGTTTTCCAAGGAGTTTTGTATCTTGAAGTTCTGTTTCACAGTTTCTTACTTTAACATCAACATTAAAGGTAGATGCTTTATGAAGTGTTGCAGTTCTACCAGTGTCATCACAAAACATACATACGTCAATGTGGTCTTGTGAAAACGTTTGATCAGAAAAGACACTGGTCAGCACAGGATAAGTGTCACTACTTCCCTCATTCTTTCGTTTCTTTGCTCTGTGAAATCTCAAATTACTTACTTTGTTTCGACGTGATTTGTGTCACGATCAATACTTGATGTATTCTCAATCCCACAGTCGGGGTGCTGAATACTAACATTAAATGGTAGTACATTAATCTTGCAGAACTGAAATAGGCGTTTTGCGACGTATTTGTACCCAGCACCAACATCTTTTCTTTTGGATTCAGCAGGACAATACAGTGGTTCTTTACTAGCATTTGGACACAAAATTCATTGCTTCCAATCTATGGGATCACTGCACAGAAATAATTGTTTTGACATAGCCACTAGTGTTCACTGTCTATATCTTAAAAACTTTAACCTGTGAATAGACATAAACAGACTTTGTTTATCTTTATATGACATAGCAATACTTTGGTGCTATGAAATACGAAATAGATTTATTATAATTATAGAAAACATTTGCATTCATGTTTTCACTTCAGGTCTCAATGCAAGAGTAAAATGAGTGACCAGGAATATAGCAAATAAGAGAAAAAGATTTCATAGCGTAATTTTCAAACTATTATTAAATATTTATATCACAGCGTTCTCAAAATGCTTCAATTTGGCTAAATTAAACACTCAATACATGTACTCTGCCAAAGAATTGTGAGTATGAAAATGTGTGTTTGTTTAAAGAAGACAAATGTGGAACACCTTAATTGTGCTTAGATTTTGTTTCTGTGTTCAGATATCCAAATTACTGATGTTTGATGGTTTGTATTTTTATACTTACCGTTAAAGTATATCCAACACATGAATAATCTCAAAAAGGTAGCGTCTGCTATCAGCAGCCATCTTAGGTTGTTCAAGGGAGATAACTCTAATATTACTTGCAAAAGAGCTCATGTAGCAATCTTAAAAGACCATCACACAGACATACACATATGTGTATATATCAACAGCATATGTCTTAGAAAAATCATAGCTGCAAAACAACAAAATATTGTTTAACATAATTCAGTGGATCAATGTATTCATCATGTTACGTTGTGTTAATTATTTTAAAAAAAAATACTTAATACTTTGAATGTAAAAGGAACATAATTTTGGGACTGAAAGTAACACGCAACATTGAATAGTTTTAATCCCAAATTGAATTGAACTGAAAAAATAATACCGATTTTGTGTAAAATTATTTACACACTTCTTAGAAAATGTAATTTTGGCGGACATCTTGGATTTTTATCAGCACCAGAGGAATTACATACATCACTGTTACGAAAAATCCTGAATAAAATATTGAATATGACAAGATAATCATGATAGTCCATGGGCTGATATAGGTGACCCTCCCCCCCTGGGGGAATTTTGAAGACTATATTTTTTTGAAAGCTTATCATATGTACATTCAAATTCCAGGTGTTTGCAGGCTGGGTGCGGGGGATGTTTCCCGCAGTGACCCCCCAAAGGGGGTCAGGGTGGGAAAAATTTGGGAAAATTAGTTTTTGCTTTTTTCACAAAATACATTCTAGTAACTGCTTTCTATCAGGAACTATAAAAATATTTAAGGTTTATTGATTAGTTACAGGTACAGGAAGACATTTACTTTGAAATATGCATTGCGTCTAAGGGAAAAATTAAACTTTATAGCTGTTTTTCTACACTTTCTAGTGGGCAATTGTTTTAAGAAGGTATTCTTGTTTCAATAGCTCTAAAATGATCAAAATTAATGTTACAGCTATACTTAAAGCATGAAAAGACTTTGAGAAGGTTTATTGTAGTCTGGGTGCTGGGGATTTTTCATGCCCTGACCTCACAAGAGGTGGGTCAGGGGGTAAAAATTTGGAAAAATTAGTTTCTTTCTTTTTTTCACAAAATACATTTTAATAAATGCCTTTTATAAGGAACAATGAAAATATCTAACATTTATTATTTAGTTAGAGGCACAGGATGACTTTAAATTTGAAAAATGCATTGTGTCTAAGGGGGAAATCAGACTTGAATGCTGTTTTTCTACACTGTCTAGCTGGCAGTTTGTTAAAGAACGTATTATTTCTTCAATTGCTCTAAAATGATCAAAATTAATGTTACAGCTATACTTAAGGCATGGTGGTTTATTCTCACTTTGGCTTTTTATAACATTTATAACATTGAGTTACCATTACTACCATTCTTCACGTTTTGCATGTTGATGCTCAGCATCCTTCTGCTGCACAAGTTGTGATATGATCAGATGATACAGATGTGTTGATTCTGCTTCTGAAGGTTGTTCAAACAGTGAAAACTTTCTGTTCTATTTGACAAAGGCACTGGTGACAAACGAAGACTTCTGGATGTACAAAGTATCATCAGTCTGAAAGGGACCACTCTGTGCAATGTCCAGCCAGCCCTTCATGCATTTACAGGATGTGATACCACCAGTGCCTTTGTCAAATACGGCAAAGTTCTCCCCATTGAGCTTCTCGATTCTCACCCTGAATTTGTGAATGCTTTATCCAAGATAGGACTTTCTGATGAGATAGCTACTGACTTGTTGAGGTCTTTGGACTCCTTTGTCTGTCATATGTATGGTCAAGTCACACACCATGTAAATGAGGCTCGCTACCAAATCTTCATGAAGAAGTTAAAACCCAAGGGAGGACAGACTATGACAAGCTATGATGATGTAGACATGAGACTCCTTCCACCTTGCAGAGACTCCCTACACTTGCACATGCAGTGTGCGATCACCAGGCCTTGATCTTGGTCAATGCTGACAAAAATCACCCCAGTGTTGCTCACCCTGTGGGCTAAGGGTGGCTGAAAGGGGGAGTAAATGCTCTGAAATGTCAATGGACCATAGGCAACATCCTTCCACAAGAGTTGACAGACAAAATATCCAGCAAGAACTTAGATTTGAGTAGAATGGAGGATTCAGACGAAGTTGAGATTGAGAGTCTTCTGGACGAGTTTGGTTTTACGCCGCTTTTAGCAATATTCCAGCAACATCACGGCGGGAGACACCAGAAATGGGCTTCACACAATGTACCCATGTGGGGATTCGAACCCGGGTCTTCGGCGTGACGGGCTAACGCTTTAACCACTAGGCTACCCCACCGCCCCACACAATCTATGATGATTCGGCATAAAGGTACATAAATATAAGTAATGGTAACTCAATGTTATAAAAAGCCAAAGTGAGAATAAACCACCATGCTTTAAGTATAGCTGTAACATTAATTTTGATCATTTTAGAGCAATTGAAGAAATAATACGTTCTTTAACAAACTGCCAGCTAGACAGTGTAGAAAAACAGCATTCAAG